GAAAATTAATTATATGAGTGTGGGCGGGTACCCATGGGTCGGGTTTACCTAAACTCAAACCCAACCCGGTGAATAGTGAACGGGTTTAAACCCAAACTCGGCCCAAAATCCGTCAACACGGATTTTACCCGCGTTGACCGAGTTGGGTCGGGTGGGTACCCGTGGGCTCGGGTTTTGTTGCCATCCCTAGTCAGCTTGCCATGTGAATGATATAATATTTACATTTGTAGTTTTTTAATATATGAATTGATTTACGAAATTGTATCAAAGTTTTTAGTTGAGACTTGAGAGGTATTTGTGTTTATTGTTTAAAGCCTCGCGATCTTTTATATTTTTAGCGTAGTTATTGTCAAACTTCAATTTAATGAGCTTATTTTTTCGTTTTTTTTAATTCGTGTAAGTAGTATAAGATCTATCGTTTAATATCTCAAATTGTTAAGATTGACTAGTTTTCGATAACGCTAAATCTGGAATCATTATGCATCAATTCGATTTGCACCACCTATAACAATAAAAATATACATATATTTTACTCTTTTCGAATTTGTATAAAATTCAATTAGCGTTACCTATGAAAGAGAATGGACTTTGCTGTAAACATAAAGGAAAAAGGTATCTATTAGTAAGTAGGAACCAAATTTTGGAACCCCCGGCTTACCAGCACACTATTATCACCGATGCTATTAGACGTTGTATAAGGTTCAATGATGATTAACTTATATTTTTCATACATATCACGAAGAAAATAGAACTACGAACTATCTCTCGATGCACCAATCTTGTCTATCCCCTGAATCGTCGAAACTTATGAACTCATCTGTGGCCCTTAAACAAATCCTCAATTAGAGAAAGATAAGGATTAGAAAGGGCCCCAGAGTGGACAAATCAGCCTCACAAGATTATGGTCCAAAGTCATTCGCATTTATTTTTTGGTGGAACAAAAGTCTTATGAAATTGATGGGAACATCCTCATCTAAAACCTCATTCATTTTTTTGGTTTGTTACGTTCTTGTGTGTATTCTAACTGTACAAGGGTCAACTCAAAGCTTCCCACGCTAACTTAGCTAACCAATATTAATGGCCAATTTTGTCTATGTTGGAACTTGAAGAAGTACATCAATTTTCATTTAGGTATTCCTTTCATGTCTCATAAGATTTTCGCAGTTGATACATGTTAGGTTGGTAGTCCCATTTCTTATACCACAAAAATATCTTAAGAAGATCTGCATCACATCCACATGTATTATTTTTCTCTTTTTTTTAGAGTTGATATATGTTTCGTTTGTAAGTTCTTTTCTGAAATCATAAAAATATCTTATGAGGAAAGCTCATATTCGTCTCTCTTTGATTTTTTCAAAGTTAATACGTATTAATTTTGAAGCTCATGTTTTTAACGATAGACATTCATCAATTAACTTCCTAGATGATACGAGGAAAGGAAACATATTGTTTTTTATTAAAAGTTAGCTTGGTAGTTGGTACATTACTGTATATGATCATATTAAGATGCTAAAATCACTTGTTTAGTTAGTCGTGTCATCATTTGTTACTTTAATCTATGTTATTTAAGATTAACAACGCCAAACATAAACACACACATATAGATAGAGCTGTTGTATATAAAGCACAGAGATCAGATACAGGTAGCTAGCTAGCTAGCTGGTGAGTGGTCAGAAGTCAGAACCCTTCTTGTAAATCAGTTGTCTAGCAAACTGGCCACAAATTTGCAAGTTGATAATGGATTGAGAAGGCAAAGTGGAAGTTCAATCTTACTGCCTCGCCCAAACAAGTACAGATCCATATATAGCCATTCTCTGAGTACCCTTTTAATCCCACCACCACCAGCTGCTTCCTTCCTTGCTTCCAACAAGCTTCATCATGCCATCCAAACTGAATACATCACACCATAAACTGTTTCGTTTGGTTAGCAACATAGATGAAACAAAGAAACTGAAGCAGAAGTGAAAAGGTAGTATGCAGTAATTAAGCAGGAAGGCAGCAGATAGAATGATCAAATCGGAATATCCAGGCTCCAAGAGGCCAAAATGGCATTCACCTGCACTTGCACCAGCACCTTGCTCTCAAGATCTCATAAGTAAAGTTGGAGGGATGAAATCATAAGTAAGGTGCAGGTGCAAATGCAGGCAAAGGCAACATATTGGCAGAGGCAGAGCTAGCTGGCTAGTTGATGAACTCATTGCAAGCTGTCAAATGAGCATTTTTTGTGGTGGTGGTGGGTATCTCTGCAAACTGAAGAAGTAGAAGTGGTATAATTTATAGGTAAAATCCTTCAATAGGAATAATGTGAGAGATAATGGTGCGGTGGGGAAAGGGAAAATTAAAAAGTCACGACGAGGAAGACTAAGAGGGCGACTGGTCGAGACTCGAGACAGTGGATATTTATTAGTGGAAGATAGATAAGAGAGAGTAAAAAACAGAGGAGAAGAAGATGGGAAGAATTTCTATCCTTTTTCTTTGGCTTTCCAGATAGGAAAAAGGGTCAATTGGCTTTTTTTACAAACAAAATGGCATATATTTTGTGATGGAATGCAGTCAGATAAGGATTTTCCCTGGATTTGACAAGCAATTCCGTGAAGTTGACCTTCAAACATGAAAATTAGTATCAAGATTGTTATACCCCAAATTGATAATCAACAAAAAATTTGGGTAATTACGGCAATGATTCAACGATATTTCTCATTCAGATCCGAAGACTACATTCTGTATAAACCTTCCAGCCTATCTATAATATCTCATTCTCATTCCGCCGGTTATCACATATTATTATTAATATATTTAACACAATTTTCCTACTTATATCGTAAATTATCATCTTATCCATCAAACCACAACAACAAGTGTTTTGCCTCCAATCCAACGACAGATATTGACGTAATTAGAGTATCGTGCTAATAGCATAATAGCCAGATTGGTAATGTATCAACCTACCTTCATTATTCGTTTGTACTGTTCTCTTTTTGTTCGAGGCGGAAGGTACAAGTCCCACGTGAGGGAAACGGTCCAAATCACGTGGGAATTGATGTCCCAACTAATGAGGGTGCGACAAGTGGCGGAACCCAGTGGCAGCAGCGCGTGTGACCCCCCCTCACCTCCGCGACACAGCCACAGCCTGAGGCCCGCTTGACCAGTAAGTCCTAAATAGAGACAACTCAACTGCTACTGGGCCGGTGGGCCCCCACACCATTTACACCGGATTGGTAGGCCCACCTGCTTTAAGGAGATGGGCTTTAATAAAATGATTCAAACCCAATTACCCAACAAAACAAAAATAAAAAGGTTCCCACTTTTCTTTTCTGCTTTGGTTTTAATCCTCAAAATATTTACCAAACTAGACCATATTCCATCAAACAACATCGAGCTTAGTGGGTTCATCGTGAGGATTAGCCTCGTGAACCTTTAGAAAAACGTCTCGGGTTATTGATCATCATGATACATTTATTGTACCATTGTAGTTGTTTTTCATTTGAGAAAGTGAAATTGAGAAGTCAAAATTCGATTCAACAAATCCACATAAGAACTTAAAACGGAAGAAGCTACAAACTTACCAAAAAAAAAAAAAAACAAATGGGGCTGAAAACCCCAAACCATAGTAAACTTACTAGGCTGCTTGTTTGTGTGGGCATATAAGTAAACTGAGCAAAATGGAAAGGTGGGCCGAAAATGATCCAGAGAGAGATGATAGAAATAGTTGGGCCGATTTGGTAAGGCTATGGGACACAGTGTTAGTGTTGGAAACAAGAACTGGACCTTTCGGGAAATTTTATGGAATTATGCTGTGGCTCATTTATATATGATGGCGCCACCCGGTTGAGCGGGCCTCAGGCCCATTCTGGATGAGCTGGGCTCCCGTCCATTCGCCCCACATCATTTTTTATTTCCCATTTCAAAGTCGACACAATAGAGAGCAGAAAATTTTGCTTAGAAACAATTTTGAAAAAATGAGAAAGTGGGTTCTAAGTTCTAACATCCAGGGTGGCCATGGCCCAGGCCCATTGCTCCAATGAATCACAAATTTGAAAAATGGCTGGGGGAAAGAGGACAAAACATAAGAGCTCGAGAGAGTACGAGCAATGTACATAATTCCAAAATCTGAAAAAATGGGTTCTATTCTACCCATCTCATATTATATTCTTCATCTCTCATTATTAATAGCTCAAAAAGATTCGGCCACTTTGTCATTTGGCTCCACATAAAGCCAAAATCCTCCACACTTTAACAATTCAATGACAATGGGAGTGACTATATTTTTAATCAAATATTCTTCAAACTTGAGATATTTAGAATCAATAAATTTTTCACATAGCGTACACAAGACATAATGAGTTCACGTAAATTTCGATACTGTAAATTGATCTTCATTAGAATAAAGACGGTCAGAAGTGATGTGAGATTTATAATTGGCATTCTATCAACATATTTTTTTTTTATGTGAATCAACATACTATTAACACTTAGCTATCTTAGCAATGAAAGTGGATTGTACCAAATTAAGTTACTAACTTACTAGGTACCTTCCGGACGGACACTACTAGGAAAAAGATAAGGACACTTTCTGGACACCATTTCTTACACCTAAAAGGCCACAGCATCCCAACGATGGAAACTTTTATGCACATTGCCACGAAATTACATCGATAGTTCTGGTTTCTGGAATCCTTTTCCTCCCTATCCACACGTTTCTTTCTTCTCATAAATGATTTCTGATTCAATTATTAAGTCAAATTAAAATAGTACCCATTTGTGAATATCCACCTGTAATCAACCACTAATGACAAGAATAAAACGAATCGCATAACCGCAATTTCTGCCAAAGAGAAGAAGACCGTCAAAGGACACAATAAATAAGAAGAAGAAGTAGAAGAAGAAAAAAAATGCATTAATTCCTCTGTCAGTCCAAAAAAGAAAGAAAGAAATTTTGCATTTAATTCCCAGACCAATAACCGCTACCCGATAAACCATGGCATTTCTTCGCTCACCAGACCATCATCATCATCATCATGGTGATGAATGGCCATGAATGATGGTTTGTTGCATCCCCACAGTTACTACCGTGCAACCGCCCTCACTGTCCCCACTTCTCTTTCTCCTTCTCCTTCCTTCTCGGCCCCTCTTTTCTCTCCGGGTATTTAAATACCCATCACTACTTTGCACAGCAACTTCTCCGATTCATCCCCATTACTAACCGCCTCCCAGAGAAAATCAGAACTGCTCATTCCTTTCTTTCTTTCCCTGTCTCGTTTTGCCTTCCTCGCGTCGAAGCAATGGGCAAGGTGAAATCCCCCGTTTCCTTTCGTTTCCCCACTCTGTTTTATGGCGGTGGTTCTACAGTGTTACTGATTGTGTTTGGGTTTCTCTGCAGAAGAAGAACAACAACAATGGGGGCGGCGGTGGCGGCAACAATAACCATAACCAGAACCAGAATCCGAACAACGGAGGCGGCGGCGGCGGAGAGGCGAAGCAGCATCACGAGGAGAAGAAAGGCGGCGGCGGCGGCGGAGGGGATGGTGGCGGCGAGAAGAAGAAGCAGGAGAAGAACCCGCTGGTGGTTATTCTCAAGGTCGAGATGCATTGCGAAGGTTGTGCGTCGAAGCTTATTCGCCTGACTCGCGGATTAGACGGTAACTGCCATCCCTCTGCTTCTTCTCCCTCTTCCGTCATTTGCATGCCGGGTATTTTGTGAGAACCGTTTGATAACTAACCGATTCGCCTGTAACCAATTGGAAATCCGTTCATGGGGTTCCGTTCTATTTTGATTTCTTGATCTGGGTTACTGAAACTGTTTCGTGACTCCATTATTGGAAAATTGGATTTGGGCGAAAGGAGATTCGCTTCCCTGTTTTGCTCTATTTTCCATTCTGTTTTTTTAGTCACTGTTACTGGTACTCTTCCTCTCTGATTTTCTCTGCTCTCTGCTAATTCCATTGTCGTTACCTTCTCAGGCGTGGAGTCGGTGAAAGCGGAGGTGGATACAAACAAGCTGACGGTGATGGGCATTGTGGACCCGGTGCAGATTCGCGACAAGCTCCATGAGAAGACGAAGAAGAAAGTCGAGCTGATCTCCCCCCAGCCGAAGAAAGACGACGGAGCCAAAAAGAACGACAACGGCGGCAACAACAACAACAACAATGGCAAGAAGGACGAGAAGAATCCCAACGAGCAGAAACCAAAGAGCGGCGAGGAGAAGAAACCCAAAGAGGTAAACGGCGCATTTTAGCCCCCCCCCCCCGTCACTTCCTTCCAAAACTGTGCCCATTTTTGCATGCTCTGTCTCTCAGTGTTCTTTCAAATCAAACCACCTCTTTGGCCCTATCGCGTCAAATGCCCGTTCTTCGATTCCGATGAATCAATCGAGGAAAATGAATTCATCGATTCGCTCAATAGCTTAGAGATTTAACTCCAATTGGATTTCAACTAATTAATTTGTTTGAATGGGGGGTTGCGGTGGTAACGTAACAAGCAGGCTCCGGTGACCACGGCGGTGCTCAAGCTGGCATTCCACTGTCAGGGATGCATCGAGAAGATCAAGAAGATTGTCTCCAAGACCAAAGGTAGTACACCATTAAGCGTCACCGTTTCATCCGGAAACGTCAACAGTTTTAAGAGATTCTTCCTAACGGCGTTTGTATCTTGTTTCATCCACAGGAGTGCACGAGCTGGTGGCGATGGACAAGCAGAAGGAGACGGTGACCGTGAAAGGGACGATGAACGTTAAGGAGCTGGTCGACGCCCTGAAGGAGAGACTGAAGCGGTCGGTGGAAATCGTTCCGCCACCTAAGAAAGAGAAAGAAGGCGGCGGCGGCGGGAATGATGGGAATGGCGGCGGCGAGAAGGAAGGACAGAACAACAACAACAACAACGGCGGGGGCGGTGGTGGTGGTAAGAAGAAGAAAGGCGGCGGAGGTGAGAATGGAGAAGGCGGCGGCGTTCAGGGGCAAGGGCAGGAGTACGGAGTAGGGGAAGTTTCGAGAATGGAGTTCATGGTCCATCCCGGGTACGCTCCAGGTCCGCCGGGTTTCGCTCCGACCGGGTTCGGGCCGGTGGGTCAGCCGGTTTACGGGGGCGGGTACGCGGGTCAGCAGCAGGCAGTGTACGGGAATGGGTACGTGGGGCAGCCGGTTTATGCGGGTTACGGGCAGGAGTACGGGTACGGGTACGGGTATGGGCAGGTTCCCGGGTACCCGGTTCATATGAAGTTCAACGACGAGAATCCGAATGCCTGCTCCGTTATGTAGGGTGGTGGGGACCCGTACGGACTTTTGCCAGGAGGTGGGGACAGTCACAGTAGTAGCCAACAGAAGCAGAAGAATGCAGTAGAGAGAAAAGCAAAATGTAAATAAGAAAAAGGATGCAGAAAGAGAGTGGCTTTTGGGTGGGTCAGAAAAATTTTGGGTACTACTTTAGTATGGTTGGTGAATTATGGGGAGGAGGAGGAACATACTAGTTTAGTTTTTTAGTCTTGAATCGGTGAAGAATTTGGTCTTGGTTCGTTTTGGTTTTTGTTGGGTAATTTTGGTTTTTGGATAGTTTATGGTTCAACATTTTGGCTACTATACATATATGTTTGTTAAGTGACTCTCTTCCACGCTAGTAGCTCAATATTCGTATTTGTCATAACATAACGTGATCATAGAGTGGACCAACCTGGTTTGTGAGATATTGAATGATCGGTTATTGTTAGTTGGAAATATAACCACCACTAGATATGAATTGGGTAGGGTATTGTTGTACAACCAAAAATCAAACTCTCAAATTAGGAAGAGGTTGGACGCCCAATTGAGCAATAAAATAGAATTGGAGGAATTTAATCGAAATTGGGTCCTACTCTTTCTTTCTTTCTTTCCAATTAATTGATGTGGAGAGAATCAGAATCGGAGCTGGAAAAAGCCGTAACCTGCTGCGGGTGACACATAAGAACTTGCTGCTAGCTGTTTAAAAGGAAAAGCCGTCACGTTTCACCGCCCCCTGGCCTTGGCCGTTTCGAAAGAGAATCGGCAATGAAAAGGGCACCGCCGTTGTAAGGCTTGGTAGGGTTGCAGAGAAGCATACGATATATATATAGAATAGTGCCCCTATGGAATTTATTCTTGAATAATTTTATAATAATAGTAACAGTAAATTAAACCCAGTTGCTAGTGAGTGACAGAGTGAGGAAGTAGTTTGTAGGACGTAGGGCGGGCCACACCCCCAAAATTGCAACCGGCGTCCTTTGTAATTTGTCCTGGTTTGTTCCTCCTCCTTGCGGGCGATAGAGAGAGACAGAATTTCAGGGTAGAGAAGAAGGGCAGAAAGCACAATGGGGAACCAAAAGTTTGGCGGGTAGCCATTAGAGAAGGAAGGCAAAGAATAAGAATTTCATTGCCGTGGCCAATTCTTCCTGTGATCCTTGCTGGCCTCCCCACAAAGCTGCATCGTGCCAGCTGGCTTCCAAGCAAGCAGAGGCAGAGATGGAGAGGAAGCAGATCAGTACATATTTTTGTTCTTGTTAGGGATGGTGATTTGGTAATTTAGCAGGAAGGAAAGGAAGGAGGGAGAGGGGGGGAATTAATAAATGAGCATAGCTGGCAATGCTGTACTTTCTTTCTTTCTTTCTTTCACTCTATGGCCTCCTGTACAGTAAGCTGTTGATAGTTTCCTCTTCCCATAGGGAGTGGCAGGCCTAAATAGATGTCCTCCTCCCTTTCCTTTCCTCTGGAGCATTTCCGTTTTGTTTTTTTTTTTTTTTTGGGTAATATGATTTTGCAGTGTTCATTCAACATTCGTAAAGCCGTAATCCATGATTTTGAATTCGATCGAAGCCGGTGATCAACGAAGGACCAGAATTTGGCTTGACCAGCTTAATATTTGTTGACGGGAGGGAGAGAGCAAAATCAAATGATGCGGATTTGGGGAAATCCATTCATATTATGGTGGGGAAATGGGATTCGAGGCCTTCCCCCCACTACCGTCCATGATTACTTCTTCTACTGCAAGTAGTTGGGCAGTAAGGAAGGAAGGAAGAATAACGAAGAAGTGGTAGAGGCGTGTCTTTGTGTGAGAGACGGTAATCTTGTGTGCACACGTGCATGTTAATCATCATCATTATTATACGCCTGCGCCTGGCTGGCTTCACAAATCCAATCAACATTTATAATTCCTAATTAATAACGCCCACCAAAAAAAAAAAACGCACACACACGACGTGCAAAAGCTCATCATCATCGTCTCGTTAGTCGTTTCTGATCATGTCGTCATATCATATTTGCCCCCCACTCATCATCCACAACCACAACATGTACACACCATGCATCTAAAACTAGGAATGGCAATGGGCAGGTTCGGGGCGAGTTTCTTGGTACCCAGACCCGCCCCGTGGCAGGTCGGGTCCAGGTCGAGTAATTGATCACGGGTCGCGGGTCGGGGCAGGTCGACCCAATGGGTATGCAATTTATATGAAAACATTAGAAATATTCATTATTTTTATTATAAGACTAAGAAAACAATCAATATTGTGACAATTGTAGTTAAATTATTGGAGAAATTGAGGTTTTTACTAATTTACAACTTTATTATAGCTAAAATATGATGCAATAAAAGGAAAATTCTTAAGTAATTTGACTAAGATTACATGTAATTTAGACAAGAACGGGTCGAGAATGGGGCGGGTCAGGACAGGTCGGATCGATGAGACTACCCATACCCGCCCCGCCCCGCCTACGGGGCGGGTCGGACCCACCCCAAAGCAGATCAAACGGGTCGGGTAAAACGGGTCAGGTCGAAATTGCTATCCCTATCTAAAACCCACCACATCAACGGATGCATGCATATTTACATCCACCAAGCATAGAATTTTAGCTAGCTAGATGGTCCCAATTATTAATTAATGGTATAAACTGGATTGGATTTTGCTAATAGCAGAAGAAGCTGAGGTTAATGTTGGTAGTGCAGCAGGGGTCGGCATTGGAATATTAATGATTAGCTCTTGGTTAATTTCAGGCTTTTGGAACCCTTGCAAAGTTCATATCCCTTTTTATCTATACGTGCCCGGATGAGGAATATTCGGCCGATGTGACGAATTATATGTGTCGGTCACCTTAATTATTATAACATTTTACAGTTTACACAATGAAATATTATGAGTTAGCAAATATAATAGAGTTGTTAGAATACTCTATGTATATACCCGACCGCTTACCTCTTGATTACTGACTAATCATGTAACCCCACTATTCACTTTCGACAATTAATCAATGATAATGACGGTTTATCTAAAAGATTATCACACGTCACACCAATTACAATCGCTGATTAGTTGGTTATAATAATATATAGTATTGTTTAGTGTGTTCATATATACCTACTTGGCTACTTGTAGTTGCAAATTCGACCTAAACAATGTGAAAATAGACATTTTTTTATAATGGTATTATGGAAATAGACATGAGTGGTCCTTTAATAGAAACTTAAGTTGAGTTTCATTTGTAGGGATTGGCAAAAATATCCGTAGCCGTGGATATCCGCCCGAATCCGACCTAATTGGGTAGGGTAAAAACCGAACACGAAGGACTTTTAGTGGGTACGAGTAAAACCCAAACCCGAATATTACGGGGAATAGGTGGGCATGGTTTTCTCACTATCCAACCCGAACCCGCCCGATTATATACGTGCATATGTATTTTGTCTAGAATTAATCAATATTTTCTCTAACATATTTTATATTTAGCATATAAATATAATATTTTTATGAAATTGAGTTGTTTTAATTAATTTTCTTCATTCTAGTGAATTATTGTCGTACTTTTTGTCATACATAACGTGAGAAAACGTGTGAATATTAACATATTGGTTAGAGTTATAAAGAGAAACTATTACCCATGGATAATCGTGGATACCCGAAACCCGAATGGGTATGAGCATGGTTTGGATTTTCTACCCATTTCTTATGTGGGTATGGGTTTGGGTAAAACCCGAACTACTTTGGGTAGGATAATGGATATGCACTATCCGTCCCTGACCCGACCCATTGCCATCCCTATTCATTTGAAGACGAGACAATAGAATATGAAATAGATTGGATATCATTTAGGGTGTGCCTACGGTGACATGCATGTCACGGTGACTTGCACTTTCCGGTCGACCTCAGTTAGGATTAGGTCGACCGAATTCTAAATTTGGTCGACCTCATATAGGATCTGGTCGACCTCATTTAGGATTCGGTCGACCTCATATAGGATCAGGTCGACATAATCTGTTGTTTCAATGTAAAAACAGTTCATGGTGCCTACTTTGGATATTCATATCATACAATTAGCTAGATGGAAATTGAAGACTAATGACTTGTTTTGAAGCTGGAGTGTCCCTCTACATATTGAAGTGGTTGAGAGCTCGATAGGAAGTCCAGAAGACCATTTTTGAACCTCATCAAAAGGCTATGCCCTGGAAATGGCTTAGTCTGGAAACGTGTTTGTGAAGCCTATTTTGGAGCTCAATTCGAGAAGCATGAATGCGAGTCGAGTCCAGGAGCCTCTACCACGTTAAATTAGGTATGTTTTTATACAAATTCAAGGTATTGGATGAAAGATTGGATATCTGTAAGGTTTCAAACAAAAGGGTCGAAGTTGCTACAAAGGCTGTTTTTCATCCAATGCCTTGCCAGAAAAACAGCCTTCGTAGCAACTTCGAGCCTTTTGTTTGAAGCCTTAAAGATATTCAATCTTTCATCCAATGCCTTGCCTTTGTATAAAAAAATACGTAATTTAACGTGGTAGAGGCCCCTGGATTTGACTCGCATCCATGCTTCTCAATTTGAGCTCCAAAGTAGGCTTGACAAACACGTTGCCAGGCAGTTTCCCAGTTTTGGCATAACCTTTTGGTCAGGTTCAAAAATGGTCTTCTGAACTTTCTATTGAGCTCCCAAGTACTTTAATGTGTAGAGGGACACTTCAGCTTCAAAACAAGCCTTTAATCTCCAATTTCCATCTAGCCAATTGTAAGATATGAATCTCCAAAGTAGGAACCATGAAATTGTTTTTACACTAAAACAACATATTAGGTCGACCTAATCCTATATGAGGTCGACCGAAAAGTGCATGTCACCGTGACATGCATGTCACCGTAGCAAAGTCCTATCATTTAATGTATGAAAACTAAAATGAGCTTCTGATGATTAAATCAAATGTAAGTGGAATTTTTCGCATTGAGATGACACGAAATGAGTCTCTAATGAAAGTGAGAACCGAAATGAGCCTGTAATGAAAGTGAGAACCTGTATATTTTTGTTTTGGCTTCTATGAAATTTTGAATGTAAGACTCATAACACTAGCATCTACATATGCCCATCTTCACATCCAAATTACACATTTTTGGTATTTTCGAGCGTCTATTGTCCTATTGGAATCAATAAATTTAGGAGCTCATTTAACCTAATGGGATTGAGACCATTTCCAACAGCACAAAGTATTGCTTGTCTATCTACAAATTTACTATTTACCTACTCGATCAAAATTCAAAGTTTAAGGAAATGGGAAAATAGCCTCTCTCTTTTCTGTATGCGGTAATTAGATTCCATAAATCATGTGCTCTCTCAAATGGCTCCCTCTTTTTTCCAGAAACAAGTGCTTGCCTAGCTTCCACACCTCTTTCATACTTTTGAATGAATCTCTCCCTCTTTTTATTCCTAAAGAATGTGATGATTACGTGAGAGCTCAATCCCATGTGAGCCTTATGGAATCCCTAATCCATTGATTGGCTAAGCACAGTATTGGCAAGGAATCAAAGGAATACCCTATAAATAAAGGGCAACAAAACTAACCCAAATTACAAAAGGACAAGATCACAAACCCAGTAGTGGGTGTTTTCTAGTTGTTGGTTGATGAGCTAATGGACCACTTTGATCTAATCTTCTGGCAGTAAAAGAGAGAGCATTCAATTGAAAAGGTAAAGAGTGTTGTATTCTATTCCCAAATTTTCAACTACTCAAATATAAAGATGGATCATTTTACGATTAGGCCATCATGTCGAAAATGATAGCCGTAAGTGTCTTGTTCGCAACTTCTTCCAATTGAAAGGCCAGAAAAGCACAAGTTTGCTGCTTATGCGCTCAGTGGCGCGGATTGAGTGAGGAGGCCCTACCCGTGCCATGACCTAGGCCTCCTCTAGGTCCAAAACTAGTATAACAAACGAGACCTGCTTGCTTCTAGTCCTCTCCGCTTCAAAAGCGACCCAATACTCTACTATGTTACGGATCCGTCACTGCTTATGCCTCTTGTTTCAAACGCCAGTTGTATGTTGTCGTATCAGTCGATTCATCCAGTTTTAAGCACTCTATGGGGGGCATTTTGCACTAGGATATGAAAATTGGGAATCCAGTTTGAATATACAGTGATTAATTGGAGCATGTATTTGTTTTATTTCCCTTCTTCTTCTGGAGTTCCGCAGTTGAATAAACAAAGAAGAAGAAGATGCACTGCTTCCAATACTTTACACAAAACGAAATAACAACTGCAAAAAAGCTTCCACCAAATCCATGTATGGTCATCACAAAACTTTCCCGGTCTTCGCTTTAACTCCTTTCCATTTCTCCCTTCCATGCCTTTCGGAGTACTCAACCCCCTCTGCCATTTGCATTTATGGAGAAACGTTTCATCCATCCCATTCCCCAGCTCACAGATCAAGAGTTCTCTCTGTTATTGTTTGTGTAAATGTGACAGCAGTAATAAGGTTCTTAAATGAGTGATTTTTAACTCTGCACCCGATTCCCCAGCTACTGAGTTGAAACATTGAAAGAGTTTGGTAACATGCAGAAACATGTTTTTGACAGAGATATGATGATGGGATGAAAAGGTTAGAGAAGAAGGTGACCTAACTTGCTGCTGATGAACATTTCAAAACTCATTCAATCCAATTTGACACCATCAACCATTATGCCATCACTGCCAAGTAATTGGGTAGGAGTCACCACTCACTATAACCAGTCAGGAGGACCACCTCCTAATCTTTTCATATTGGTCCACAAAACCTCCACAACTTTCACTTTATGTCATTTCTAGAAGGAGAAGAAAAAAGAAAATGGATACTTGCTCATGAAGGTGCTTCGAAGCTACTTTCCCCCCTTATCTACCCCATGTGGATTTACTCCTTTCCTTTTGTTTTAGGTGAACCCTTTACGGATTACAAATTATCGCGTTTTGTCATTTGCCGATGGATTGTCAAACTGTACAGGAAATGATGATAAAATGTACGACAACAGAACCACCGTAGTATGGTGATAAAATCATATCCACTTAACCGTTAGAACATGATTTAAAGAGTACAACTGATTGAGATGGTATCACATGCATCGTGAAGAAGTTGATGTTTGGCGTTTGGTGTCAAAAACAGTCACACCATGGACGACTCTTGTGAGATGGGAATGAGTCAACTTGGCCATAATTGGTCCTTGATGAATGATTGAGATGTTGAAGATAGAGATGTGTGGGTGTGGCTATGATGATGAAGAACTTGGGGTTCGAAGTGAAGAAAGAAATGCTATTGGAAGTATGGGTGGATGTCCTTTTTGTAGAGGTGATATGTTTTCAAGTTGAATGCCACTTCAGAATTCTAATCAACTTTTGTTTCTTATTAAGGTTAAGTTTTATTCGATTGAGGAGTAAAATCCCCACAATGTAGGTGCTAAGGTAGACATAATCATGATTAGCATCCCTTAATCCAACTCATACAACAACTTTTACCATCCCAAATGGCACCCATTTTCTTGAAAAGTGATTCATGAACCCCATTCATTATGGACACTGCCATTGTCCATGGGGTTAAAGGCGGTTCTGTTGTATATGGCAACTCCACAAAAGTTTTATTATATGGTAGCAAAGGAGAAAGCAAAGATGAAACCAAAAGCTGAGAGTGAAAGATAGATAACTAAAGGGAACCCGTAGGGTGGGGAAAAAATGGAACCCAGAAAAAGGTGGCATTAGGCATTCAGTGCAGCAGCACCATCACTGCACCAGCAGAAGAACCCCAGCTTTTTTTCTGGTACAATAATGGCTCACTTTCCTTTTCTTTAATTTCAGCTCTCTCATGAGTCAGTAAAAGTTACAGAACATTTAATTTACAGCTTTGGAAAGCATAAAGAGACAAAAGTTGTGGCTGGAGAAAAGGGTTAAATCATCAACCTTTTGCACCATTGCTTTGCTGAAGGAATCCTGCAATCAAACAACTAAAACAAACAGCAGAACAGGACCTCCCAGGAAAACAGTACACAAATCACAGAGATGACTCCCCACATTCCATCAGGAATCTCGTGGGGATGAACTTTCATCAACATTGTCATCGAGAATAAGCTTAACACCATTGTTCCTAAGACCATTAATGACTGCCCAAACCTTGGTACGATTCTTGAAACCCTTCTTCTCGATCTCTTTGTTTACATTCGTGTGAATCCCTCTTCCCAGCCCATGTTCGAGCCCTTCCACCTTCAGCCGCATAGCTAAAACCTCGCCAACAACCGTCGCTGCTTTGGCATTGCACGATCGACCGCATTCGAGCGTGTTTTTGATCGAATGCTCGACCGTAGACGCTGTTGCCACAATCCTCCCATTGTTCCTGTCCACTACGTTTGCAGTTATGTACTTCAGTGATATGAACAGCCGTAACACATATCTCTTCAACACCGTCATGGTTCAATTATACATACGAATCCTGCCATTCATCAATCAAGCCAGCAAGGAACTCAGACTCTGCTTGGTTTCGGATCCAAAGCTAATCAAACGTTAACTAAGTTGGGCTCCGATGATTAAATCATTTCATAACAGTTACCGAAACAGGGGAATCTGTCACTTATCTTTTCAGGGAATGGAGAAAGACTACCTAACTGAGAGTTCAATCGAAATTTAGAAAAAAGGTCCTAGCTTTTTGCGATTCTCCTATTGGCTTTCCAACTTTTGCCAAAGTCGTACCTCCAGGGGATGATGGTTCGCAGGGGTTGGAGTTGCGAGCGCTGTCAGCAGGAAATTTTCTTCTCCAGATGTTCTCGAGACTGGACGGGCGGGCGATTCCCAGCCACAGCAAGTCGGCAATGGCGGATCGTTGGGGGGTTGTGTACCTTCACAATCGAATTTGATGCAGGGAATGAGGTGTAGTTCTCCCTCTGTCGAGTATCAAATTTCTACATTTAGGGTTTTAAGATTTGGGAGAAAGGTCCAGAGGTTTTGATCTTTCTTTACCCGAGTATTGAATTTGCAAGGAAAGAGTCAGATAGAGAGCCGAACTAAGGGAAGGGCTAAACAACATGATTGGAGCCCAAAAAGGCGCTATGGGCCATATTTCATTCTAGGCCTAATAGGCTACAAAGGCTGGCCCATATACAATAAATCCTGGGATTGAATGTAGAAGAACCACCTCAAGAACCCACTCATTTTTTAGATCATGAACGATTCACCAGTTGCTGACAAACATGAGGATTTCATCGCTCAAAATAAACACGGCAATCGTGAATAACTTCTTACATTCAAAATGACATCAACACTATAATACACTAGAGTCACAGACGATAACATGAAATGGACCTACACTACCATTATCAGTTGGCAGCAAAATATCCCCCATGCGTCTCATTTCATCCTTGCAAAGGAAGGGTTGGACAGAACAATGAGATCTAAAGCAGAGTTCGGTTATGTATCTAGCATTCTAGCTACAGAGTAGTTTTCTCGGTGCGTTATGTGATCCTCGACCATTCACATTAACCGTCTTTCCTGCAATAACGAATGGCAGCAGCAACGTCATTAGAAATCCCTTGAACATATTCTCTATTTATTTTTTGGTACAACATTTTTTTCTATTTTCAAAGAGATGGGTTGCTTGCTTGCTTCACTTACTTTCTCTTTCTTCGATCTATACCCACATTCCTCATCTCATTTCGTCCGGGGTTCATGCCATATGGCATGGGGGAAAGTGTGGAGGTAGGAGCAGCTGGTGGCATACCCATAGTTGAAGAAGGAAGGCCAATGGGGACTGCAGGTGGAGGTGGTAGAGCGGGAGCAGCAGCAGGAGTTGCCTCAGCCACAGGTTCAGGAAGGGGCCTGGGCAAAATGTGCCTCAATCGATTGTTCCGATAGTTTTTCCAATAGTAGAACTGCTGTCTGTGCGCCAACTCCTACAAAGTTTCAACAAGTACATTAATGGAAATCCAGGAGACACACATTTCAAGATGGAAATTATCAGCTTGAGAAAAAAAAATCAGGCCAAAGGGCAGTAAAGATCCATGATTGGTATTAACCTTGTTGCCCGGGTGTGCCATTGCATTGCGGAAGTTCACATTTTGGAGAAGCTCTAGAAAATATAAACAGTGAGGATACCTGCAATCATGCTAGCGAGGTGAACTATAATTATCAAAACTACGAAGAAGACGTAACTGCGGCATCTAGATCCAATTAAATTGTTGCTTTTATCTAATAATACAAAGGTGATCCTTTTCCATACACTTACATTATGAACTTAATGTACTCTGGTCGTTGCCAATACTGGAGGTATTTCAAGTATCCAATGAATGCCTCATCTTCAAAATACCGGTTCTGAGCTAAGTCTGCATTTGTCAAAAAACCAAAAACCAGATGTGAGGAAGATAGTAGCAAATTTTTAAAGAAGAGCAAGAAAACTTGAGGATTTGAGTACAATTAGCAGAAAGATTCACAGAAACAGATGACTATAAGTATAGAACAATTAGCCTAAACTGTCCAGAACAAACCAACAACCAAAAGGACGAGCTCCATTAGCAAGCTACCTAAGAAACACAATAATTTGAAGTGGTTCAATCAGCTTTTACGTGTAGAACTAGCTTAACATTCAAATCCTGCCAGGTAATTATAGCACGAGTATTATGTAGAAGGTAACTGCTCAGAAACAATGATACACAAACTACAACAATCTAGGAAAGAGACACCGCACAGAAAAATTTCACCATTCTAAAAATGCATTATTTCATGTCATGTTTTCTGTACTAAGAGTCAAAAGTTTTTTCCCTGTAAACTCAACAGTTGCATAAAGAAAGCAAGAATTTTGATAACTTACAGTGTATGTAAGTTGGATTAGCAAGACACTGGACAAACTCCAATTCGAGAAGGAAACGTTGTCGACCATCATCTGGATCCTTGTATACATTCTTAGGCCTGCAATGGACATCGAAAGCAGTAGAATGAAAGAAAGCCAGAAAAGCCTCCAGGAAACCAACAGAACAATACTACTGTACAGAGAATACTTCACAATAAGGACTCGAGGAGACAGATAAACTATTTTTGGTAGGCAAGCACATACAAGAAATGATACCCAATGACCAATTTTGTCATGAACTAGAAAAGCCCTGCTCATTTAAACCCTTCAATCAGGCACAAATGCAACAGAAGGAAAGGAAAGGGGAAGAGATATGACATATGTGCGAGATGGACTGTGACATTTGGATATGGAGGATAAAGAAGAATAAAATGCTTACGAAGATGAAGCAACCAGCTCAGTCTCGGTCTCTTTAGATGAAGCCATTAGACCCTTCCAGTTTACCCTGAAGTAGCAAAGAATCAAGCCTTTACCCATGTTATTGGAAGCACAAAATTGTTGATAAGATTACAAAACTGCTTAACGAACGAATACTTCATTCATTGAACAAAAAGAAAACATTGAAAAGCTGCAGAATACAGTGCACACTTCATTTTATGCCACTTTCATGATTTCCAAGTTTGGGGTACAAAAGTTCCAATTGCAAGAAAGATACACATGCTGGTTAAAGCTCAATCGGACATTGAAATCATGTGTGTTGCTAATGACAGGAAATTGAAGTATGGAAAAAACAAAGTTCTTCAGCTTTTTTGCTCAACGAACCTCCCAGCCCCTTTTCACTCGAATTAACAGTAAAGTAAAAGAGCAGAAGCGAAAATTCGCAGAGCGATTCATGAGAGAACTCACCGATCAGAGAAACAGGGAGCTCAAGTAGGGAACGGCCGCGGCCGGCCGGCCGGATGCAACGATGGTGATGAAGGCGAGTGATAGCTGATATGCGAAGGATGATGGCTTTGCCGGGACCCAGGGAGGCAATAGATTGGTGCTTCCAGTCGGGGTCTTCGTCCTCCGCCACTCTCGGCGTCTGGACGGTACCAATTGTAGTCGCGGCAACGGCGACGGTGGTGGTACTGATCGGCGAGTGCTCAATTCGTTTCTCGAAGGTCCTTTACTCCTTTCTGTGATTCTGTCCCTCTTTGCCGTGGAATGTCAATTTCAGACGTAACAGAAGTAATGCCGAAGAAAGGCTTGGGCTTGTCTAGAAATTACGATCCAAGCCCATTCAGTACGCAGCCCAAAGAAGATAGCCTGTTCTTTAACTTTGTGTCAAATCGGCCCAAAATTAATTTCATACTCTATTTATTAGAATAGTTAGTAAAATACGGCACGGGAAAGTTACAAATAAAATACGTACAGATATTATACTTCGTTTACAAGCTAAAATTACGTTTAATAGTACGTTAATAGTCATAAAAATATAAAGTTAATTATTTTAAAAATAAATAAAAATATAAATAATAGTAAAGTTAACAATTTAATTCAAAAAATACAGATAATAAACGTGTTATACGGGTTTTATATGTATTTAGTACGGGAGCCATCAAATTAACGGATAAAAATGAAACGACTTGACAATAATACGGATACGGAAGTTTTAAACGAATAACTATAATACGGATACGGGTACATATATGACTTCTTACCTTGACTTCCAAATTACTATGTAGTTATCTACAAGTTTGAGTAAATACACTCATACAAATGTCGGTCTTACAAAGTGATAAATGATTAAGAGGTAATGAGCTTTGCTCGCATTAGCAAGTTTCAAACTCTTCAGTCCACCTTCCTAAAAACAACCAAAAGAAAAGTGCATTACAATTATCCTGTCTAAACAATTTTATTTTTTAAAAAACATCTTATATTTTTCGGGTTAAAGACACATTTGGTCACTGAGATTACAAAATCGGGATATATTTAGTCACTAGAAAAAGTTAATATCAAATTTGGTCACTACAATTACTAAAACTGGACACATTTAGTCACTCGCCGTTAGTCTCCGTCCAACTCCGTTAATGAAGTCCGTTAAGTGCTGATGTGGCAAACAGAATTGCCTAATCAGCCGGATATAACCCAACAAAAATAAAACCCGACCCGCCAAGTCATTATAACCTGCCACCTCATTAAAACCAACCCATGACCCAACCCCACCCAACCGTGCCTCACCACACTGCCGTTACCACCGCCGCTGACCACGCTGCTCCCGCCCGGCCCGCTGACCATGATGCTCCCGCTGCCGCTGCTGCTCGCCGGATCGCTCTGGACCTCGCACCCGGCGGTAAGGGCATCGGATTTGGCTTGTTGTTCTTCATCAAACCGGCGACCTCAGATTGACTGCCTCGGGATTCGGGCTGACGGGGTTTGTTGAATTTGCCATTCCGGTAACTCTCCAGCCCGCTCAACATCGATCTGGCTTTGGATCTGCCGATTTGATTGTTCTTCCCCTTCCCCGTGGGCGGCAGATCTAGGGTTGAGCTGGAATCGCTCTTGGTCCGCCTCAATTCAGGGGTAGGGATCCAGGGGAGAAAGAATTGCTTCTTGTTAGGGATTGAGGAATACAAGCTGCTTTCCCCATCGCTGCTGCTGCTCTCATCGTCGCCCTTCTTGTTGTTCTTCTTCTTCCCGCCCATCAGATCCCGGTACCCGACGCCGGAGGACCCGGAGTAGAGCGGCATGCTCGCATCGAGCTGTCGAGCACGGCGACGCCGACGTTGAGGAGGGCCTGCGGGCGGCCCGACGGGCGGCAGACACTTCATTAAAACCGCGAGGAACTAGTTGCCGGGTCGGAGGACCCGGTTGTTCGGGCGGGTCTGGTTCCGGGGCGGGGCGACGCTGTCGACGAGGAAGGAGGTGAGAGGTGCAGAGGTGGGAGGAAGGAGGAAGAAGGGTTGGGTAGGGTTGGGTCATGGGTTGGGTTGATTTTAATGACGTGGCGGGTTATAATGACGTGGCGGGTCGGGTTTTATTTTTGTTGAGTTATCTCCGGTTGATTAGGCAATTCTGTTTGCCACATCAGCACTTAACGGACTTCATTAACGGAGTTGGACGGAGACTAACGGCGAGTGACTAAATGCGTCTAGTTTTAGTAATTGTAGTGACCAAATTTGATATTAACTTTTTTTAGTGACTAAACATGTCCCGATTTTGTAATCTCAGTGACCAAATGTGTCTTTAACCCTATATTTTTCTTTATACAATCCTACGATTTGCAAGAGAAAGCGGAGTCTATGCCTCGAAATTAGATTCGCTTGAGCTTATTTGCAAGAAAATGATTTTGTACATAAGGGAGAGAGAGCGTCTATTTCAATATAATTAGGGTTTGCTAAGACCTAGTGTGATTACTAGAGGAGATATAAACACAAATCATAACTCTTGCAATATGTAATGGATAACTTGTAGGAATGAAACCAATTTGATAAACACAATCATAATTTTTGCAATCGACACAACATTCCTCTCTTTTTCTCTATTGAACCCTAATCAAACCACAAAAGTAACACAATTTATACAGGACGACGGTCAGAATTAAACTGGTTTGATAAACACCGTCAAGATTTTGCAATCGATACACGATACCATTCTCCTCCTTTCCCTCTAATTGAACCCTAAATTAAACAGTGACGACCTTTTCTAACTAACAACATTCAGATCATGAACATTAATTTGCAAACACAAAAAAAAAAAAAAAAAAAAACAGAAGGGCAGCCACGTTTTGACTGCTTATCGATAATAATTTGATTAATTAATCAACTCGGAGAGGTTCTTCATCATAATCAGAAGCTCTGAACCATAGTCTTACAAGAAGAAGATCCCCAACTATCCCTTCCACCACCACTATTACTATTACTATTACTATTATTATCATTCCTCCTCCTCGACGACGTCGTTTCCTCCCATTGCTCCGCCAGAATCCTCTCGAGCTCCTCCGGCCGGCAGGGCACCGCCAGGGCGCCGTACCCTCGGCCGCCGTCGAACCCGTACTCCTCCGCCGCCTGCTCCAGCAGCCTCAGAAAAGTAGGGTGGGTCAAACAAGTCAACGGCACCACGAACCGCTGCGGCTCCTCCACTCCTTCCACGGCCAACACCGCAAAGTGTCCTTCTTTCACGTCCTCGGGGACGTAACTACTCGCATCTTTCTTCCCCAACGCCTTCTGCAGCTTCTTCGCCACTATCTTGAGGTTAATTATCCCTCCACCACCGCCGCCGCCGCCGGCGGCGGTTCCCTTCTTCTTGCCGTTGCTGCTGCTGCTGCTCGCTGCCATTGTTTTCTGACTTGGTATATAGCTACAGCTTTCTCTCTGGTCTGTCGTGGAGGTTTCTAATCTGTTTTGTTTGTGTGTTTAGAGTGATGATGGGTTGTCGAGTGCTTTTGGGGAACATGTGGCGATGGGTATATATAGGGAGGTATGTCGAGTATGTCGTATAAGAATTATTATTGAATATTTTTCTCTACATTTAGGGTTATTGGAACTTTAGCTTTTAAAAGAAGGCATCCGAGTCTTTTGTAATCGAGAGGTTTTTTGTTTGAATTCTGGCGATGTCATTTTTCAGACTGTGCAAACTTTAATGAGTAGCTTGAGTTTGAGGGGGTCGTGTTAGTATGTAGTTTCACTATTGAAAATCTCTCAAGTAACTCGAGTTATTTGTATCAACTAGTTCTTTAACATAGTATCGTTGTCTTTGTGTCTGGCAGTTTTTTTTTTTGTTAGAATCATGGCGGCGACCCCCATTTCCAGAGTATGCAACTTCAAACTCATAATGAACGGACTTGAATTTGAGGAGGCGACCCCATTTCCATAGTATCGCTGTCTCTGTGACTGACAGTTTTTTTCTGTTAGAATCATGGCGGCGACCCCAATTTTCATCAGAGTGTGCAAACTTCAAACTCATAATGAACGGACTTGAATTTGAGGAGGCGTATTAGTATATGTGATATACAATTTATTATTGAATTTCTCTCAGCTACTCGAGTTATTGAGATGTGGTTTGACAGTTTCGTATGAAGTATAAACATACATGGGTTTGATGAATTTCATACGGAGAGAAGCTTATCGGGAAAAATTGTACGTTGGACGCGTGAGAGGAAAGAGAGAGGCCGATGAGAAAAAGGGAGGGGTCTGATAAGACTACACAAGCGGCATCTTTTATTGTCATTTTGGCTCTGTGTTTTCTTCTTTCCTTCTGGAGTAGGCTAGAGAGAGAGAGAGTCCATTGATGAGAGAAGAGACCAGTGCATGTGGTTCAGTGGCTAAATGGTATATGAAACGTCCCTTTACTTCGACATTTCTCTGTCTCTCCAAAAAACTTTGTAATTTATTGCTTGCGGAGTTGCTGTTGCTGGTCGTGATCTCTAGCTATAGCGTTCAAACAAGTCTCTCTGCGAGTAATATATGTGCGTAGGGTTCATATGTGTATTTGCATATTTATCTGCATGAGCCATGTTTTTTTTTATGATGGATTGACATTGACCTCAAGGTTCAGGTAACGTTCCTCTCCATTCTTGTATTATAATTTATAAGCCTTTTTGAATGAAGTTTTTTTGAGTTCCTTGTGAAACATTTGGCCAATTTTGGGTCGGGATATTTTGATCGATGTTGACGTACTGTGCTATGTTCTGTTTAGAGTTATACGCATATGATAAATACACACAATATTTCATATTCCTTTTCAGTTTTCGACAAAGAACTAGATGAAAAAGGGTATATATCTAACTGTTTGTAAAAAAAATATATATTTAAAGTTATATTTGGAGATATTGAAGCTAGCTAACTAAAGAGAGACAAATGATATTTGCAGCTCTTCATCGATCTAATTATTCATGCATGGGAACGTCTCTAGTTGCCTTAACTCCACGTAGCTAGAGCCTAGACGACATTGATGATTACATTTTGCAGAAAAAAGCAATTCGATGGACCTACGTACTTAGACTGGTACGTTGACTAATCGTTGTGTTTACCAGATTATTAATACATAACATAACATACGTATGCGCCACATAACTAACGAAAAACCAAATGAATGGGACTAATCACCGAGGCATCACTTTGTTCCCTAAGATATTTTCATTTCCAACACGTCGGTCGGTCAGGTATATTACCCACATAAAGATATTTTCACATGTTTAGGGCTTAAATTTGTTTAGTTATACAAAAACTCAACTACATCCCGAATAGGATTGTCGATGGATTAGGAATTTAGACGTATATTTTGACTGCAGTTGTTGGATTCAACGGAGTGAGAATAGAAGAAGCCCAGTAATCGAAATTTACCAAGAAAGGAGATACACGTACGGGAGGACTACTCGCACTCATTAATGGTTTAGGTCGAGTACATATAACCACGAGACGAAAAAAAAAAAAGAGGTCTACAAAAGCAGCCGGCGTAGGCCATATATCTTCTAGAATCTAGATGTCGTCTGTTCTTTAATCAAAAGACAAGAAAGACGTTTACGACTACTACTTTCTGGTTCGACATTAGCAGGCTGGCCATTATAATTAGCTCCGGCAGCAGAAGTGAGAATTCAGGTGGTGATCATCAAGTGGTTCTGGTCTAGCTAGGTCGATGATCCCACTCTTGACCCAGTAGATATGATAGATAATATCCCTCTCACCAAAAAGTGCATCAAAAAGTGCTTTAGTGGGGATGAATTGGGGATAAGGATTCGACGATTCAGCTTGGATTTCGTTTTGCTGTGGTGGGTTTTGCATCAGATATTTTGTTTCCCCAACTTGCGTATGTATTACTTATCAATCACAGGCCAGGCCAGGCCAGGCCAACTATAACGAAACGTATGTACATTAATGAAGAGCAATATTATTGGCGGTTCCGTGTGTACCCTGGAAGAACAATCTTGCCTGGATAACATGGTGCCTATGCCTAGAGAGTACGGTGTCAAAGAACCGGATCGATCTGATGATCAGCGGTGAAATCGGTTACTATAGCGACCGATTCAGTTCGTTTATTTGGACGTACGGTGAGTGATGGACCGAACGATTTTTAAAGGTTGGAAATGGAACCAGATGAATAGCTTCATAACCCGACTTGACTGGTCCATTGTTTCTTCACTATTTTAATCATAAAAAAATTTTGTAAAAAAAAAAAAATGTATACTATAACGTAAACTAAGACCTTCTAACCCCGAATTACTGATTTTATTTATGCTTTCTCTTCCTCGTTTTCCAACCTCCTTGTCGGTTTTGCGTGGATAAACTTTTTGTATATGATATGAGATTGTTTGGAAAAAATTAGTTAGAATGTTGGTGATGGACGATATGGATTCGAATTTGTTTACAATTGTTGAAAGTTTCAACCATGATTAGTGTATTATATATGTATTCTATTTCAAAGCGTAGAACAGTTCTATCAATAGTTAACCGTCAATTTTTGTAGTTAAGCGTGGTGAGGTCATGCGGTCAGAATTCTCATAAATTATAGTTTGAGTGTACTGATCATACCGACTTTCAAGTTTACGATGAAAGCCCAGATGAATCATGGAGGGGAATATTCGGGAAAGAGCACATTACCTTCTGCCGACTGGAAGTCACAACGGTCTCGCTGTTAATGCTAAATCGTTTGAAGAATATGTGCGCTATACATACCCTTCTAAATCTTTGTAATACATATCTCGTCAAGTATAGTGAAATTGGCACAGTAATGATTGACCACCTCTGTATATAGACAGAGATACATCTATATCTATATCGGGGTTCCCATGCCGTCGTCCCGATTCATGAATAATACGTACACACAGGCAGTCAGGCACCGATAGACCAGAAAAGATCGCCGGGGAATGGCCGGCGGCCGCCCATCTCATGATCGGAAAAATGATTCTCGTCATGTCGTTGTTGCCCACTTCACTCCCTAGTCCCCACCCCCCACACTCCCAATCACCAAAGGCATTCAAATGTCTCCACTTTTTTGGCAAACTTTTGTCCGTCCATTAACGAGGAAAAATAACAAAACAATAAGTATAGAATGTATTAGAGTTAGGCAAAATACACTTGTATAGCCAAAACTTTGACGCTTTTACTAAATATAGCCAATTTTGGCGAAATACCAAAAATAGCCACTTCCGTCCAATTCTTTGACGGTGTGAGTTAACGTGCTGACTGGACTAACAGATTGTCCGATCTGTCAATTTTTGTCCCATACAAATTACCCACGTGGATTAAAAAAATCAATGGATTAAAAAAAATAAAATCAATTGAGTTTTAAGAGGAGGTGAGGAGCTCTTCTTCGCCACAAATCCTCCCACCACCAATACCACAAACGTTGTCGCCTTCCATTCAAAATCATCTCTGTCTCCGCCACCATCAATCATCTCTGCCTCCACCAGCACCAACTCCGACTTCACTGCCAGTCTGCCACACCATCTTCAACCATCCCCACCCACTTCTCTCTAATCCCCAATTTTGAGGTTTGCCGCAGATGAGGGGACCAGTTTCAGACGAACATGAACGACGTGTTCAAAAGCAGCAGAAGATCGAGCAGTCGCAGACGAGTTGGGAAGAAGTCATTGTCGGCTGAAATCGCTTCTATTTGCCCTCGATTACTCGTCTTCTTCTTCTTCTCTCCCCCTCACCGACGAATCTGGAGTTGCTCTCTGTGCAATCTCCACTGAGATTTGGGTTTGGGGGTCTTCTTGGTCGACTGAAATAGAAAAGAAGGGTTCCGTTTTCAGGGAGATTTGTTTTTGTGGGTTTGGGTGTATTCCTGATCTGTCTATTGTAGAAGATTCGCAGATGCTAGGGTTGGGGAACCGCCATTGAAGGGATGGAGCTCTGGTTATCATGAGGGGAGAAATGGTGAAAGTCAGAGAGGAGGAAGCTGGGCGTCGGGCTGAAGCGGATTCGCCGGCTGGGTCAGATCGTGTCAATCGTGGCAGAGGAGGCGAGGCAGAGCTTGAAGAAGAAAGGGATGCACTCCCCTCTGTGGAGGAGGGCAACCGCACTATGCAACAAGAGTGTGAACAGATCTGGAAATCTTCAATCTTCTTCCTCTCTTCTTCCTTACGCTGTGGGTGAGTGTGAACTCGACAGCGGTGGCGAGACTCCTCTTCCACCACTCGAGCACCAGATCGAGAATCCGATATCCGCAGAGGAGGAGCCGGTGGTTCAGGAGGCGGAGGAGACGACGGCTTCGCAGATCCTGTCGCCTCGCATCGTGGAGGTTGGCTTGGAAGAAATCAGAGAGGATAAACACTGGCATCGATTCAATAGGGGGAGATATAGGGTTGGATTTGATTTTTTGAATTGGCATTTTTGGTAGAGGGATCAGCTAGTTTCTTAGTTTTCGGAGAAAGATGGGAGAGAGTTGAGTGTGAATCTCTGCGGCCGTTCGCGATCTTTCTTTTTGTGGGATGCGATATCCGAAGGTTGATTCGAAGCGGTGGATGGTCATATTGGTATGGACATTGCTTGATATGAATCAGTATGATTCTGCTGCTGGGAGAGGAGGAGGATTGGTGAGCAGGGGAAAGCAGGGTCGCCATGGAGATGATGGGTCGGGTGGAGATGAGTGGTGGTGGTAGTGATGGTGGTGGTGATAAGGCAAGGGAGTGTGTGGTGGCAGGTAAAAAAATTAATTTATTTAATTTGTTGTTAGTTTTCATAAATAAATAAAATTGTAGTTCAGATAAAAAAACTATTTCAATATTATATTTTTTCCATTTATCCACTTGGAATTGTTAAAAGATAAATCAAAATGATGTGGCAATAATATTGATGACTTGTCGCTGACGTGTGTGATGATTTGGCATCCTAGTCAGCCTAACGTTAACTTAACTGACAGAGTTTCTAACACCGTTAAAGTTTGGAACGGAAATGGCTATATTTGTCATGAAACTTTGAAAATTCTGGCTATTATTGGTATTTCTCCAAATGTGGCTATTATTGTCACAAACGTCAAAGTTTTGGCTACTCAAGTGTATTTTGCCTTCGAGTTATTATGATTATAAACTGGTTTTCAATACTAACATTTATTTATCACGGTGTTATAAACGCGCTGCTACGGATCGAGAAATTGGTGGAATCGACAAAACAAGAATACGAAAGCGAGAATCGAAAACACGACACACGATTTACGTGGTTCGCTAACACGATGTGTGTTAGCTAGTCCACGAGCGAGAGAGAGCCAGTTTCACTATGTCGAAGAGATTACAGAGGAGTATGAGAAGTATTTATAGTACTTCTCCATGTGGGTCTAAACCTAATCCAATATGGCAAAGGAAACGGTTACAGATCAGGCCCAGAACCTGAACCCAAATAACATCGAACCTAAATAACAACGAGACACCCGACTAATCCAGTCGTAGCGGCTGATAATCCGATTCAAGTCACATCAACACATGGTCTTTTAAGTGATTCATTGTTCAAATTTTGATAATCTCTTTTAAAAACTCGAATTATTGTGATCAATTGGTTTTCGAGACAACATAAATTTATAAAATATTTCAAGAATGGTTCAACATCTAAATTCTATTAGCTAGTGCACTTTCGAATTTCAATGTATACAGTTAATTCCAAGTTTAAACACAACACGTTATGAGTTTGTGTGTCTATGTATATGGATTGACTTTCGTTTATTTTCTAAGGAAACTTTAAATAAATAGTATAACATCTGCACTTATAGTCTTATACTGGGTTTAATCATTGGTTTTCCGTGACAAATGATATTTAGTCACGAACCTTTCTCTCACGAAATAAATACTCGTGACAATTGAATTTTTTTTTATCAAGCATGACAATTGAAATTTATCACGAAATTGAGTCTTTCATTACCAGAAATCTCGTAATAGAAGGTAAATTTTCCACGGCGTGAATTGATTCATGCACATACCATGATATCTTAACCCTCTTATTCTTTGGATGATTACATCATCAATTACAATTGAAACGATCACTCAATCCTCAATTTCTACAATTAAACATTCACGATTCCGTTGGTTCAGACCATAATCAATGGCTCGACCAAATTATTAATCCATCCAAAACGAATTCCGTTCCTAATGGCAGACCAGACAACTTAAAAAAAAAAATTTGAAACAACACACCACGATCGGATCAACGGAAGCAGCAAGCCAGAACCCTCTCCAAGTCCGCCGGCCGGCAGCACACGGCGACGGTACCTTGACACCGGAACCCGTACTCATCCGCCGCCTGCTCCAACAGCTTCACGAACTGGGGATCCTTCAAACACCGCAGCGGAACCACAACTCTCCTCGTCGCCGTCATCACTTGCTCATCGCCGCCGTCATTCTTCACCTCCACCGCGAAATGCCCCTTCTTCACATCCTCCGGCACGGCGGCCCCCCTCACCCGCCGGAACCTCGACCCTTTACTCCGACGCCGCCGTGGCAGCCTCCTTAGCAGCTTCTTCATGTTCACCAACGCTCCACACGACTTGAGCCTCCACGTCATCAAAATAATCGAATTCTGACTTTAATAAACCAAATGCAGGGTACTCTGTTTTTTCGGGAAGTGCTCTAATTTGGGTTCTTTATGGTCGTTATTAATACGCATATATATGGACGTACGTATTATTATGTGTAACGAAGAGGTTCGATCGATGCGCGGTCAAATTGTGTAGCTGTATGGTTATGTTATTTAAAATTGGTAGTGGACAAATCAAATGCTTGGAAGGGATAAAAGAAGAGCAGAGTCTGAAAGCAGAGGGATCGAGTAACTAGCTAGCCGGAGTTCACAAGGTGTGATGGAAGAAACAAGGTGTCTTTGGAACCTTTAATGAACTTCCTCTGTGCTTTCTTCTTGATGTTCGATGCTAGTAGTACGGATGAAATTACAATTTTTTTTTTTTTACCACTGGGGGTGAGGGGGAAATATTAACAAGTGAACTGTTTGTTTATTTATTTATTTATTATTGTTGCAGATTAGGTAGCAATTATTCGGCAGTAACTAAGAGAATCAACAATGAAGGGTTTCGAGGTGAACAAAGACCGGCAAGGTGAAGTGCTTGTATTTTACATTTTGATCAAATGAGAAAGGGTTAAAAACTGTGGGGGATAAAGAGGAGTTAAAGAGCGGCAGAGAATTTTAGCATATATGGTTAAACAAGAAAAGGTATGATGAATCAGGAATGTTTAGGTAGGGCCTGGCTTAATTCCAGGATGTAACGTTCTCTTATCTTTTATCAATCAATATGATTATCTTTTATCAAAAAAAAAAAAAAAAAAAGTTTAGGTAGGGGTGGATGTTGGTGCGGTGGTGCTTAATGGTAATTCGCATAAAAATTTGCGCTTAATCATAATTATAAATATCAAATATATGTTCATCAAGTACAGATTATTTTGTAATGGTTAGTGTTTGACCACTGAATAGAATGATTTGGTACGATTTGATTTGATTTGGTAGTGGTTGACTGCAAAATCACTAACATAAGCTCATCAAAGTAATATCTTCTTATAAGTTTGAAGTATTTTATTGATTTAGAAAATATGAGCCATATGCAACATTTGGAGAAATACCAACAAGGACACAAAAAAATATGAGTCATGTGCAACATACGAAAATCCTCCTATAAATGGAGACAAAGGAAGAAAATGCAACAGGAAAGGAAGAAACAATAAGACAAAATAAACTCCTAGTTCTTTCCTTGCAAATATGATAAACGTTGTTACAGGTTAAGTTTGACAACGATAGTTCGTTAAATCAATGAAAGCATTACATGTCGCCGTAACCCTGTTCTCAATTCTGTTCAGCTGCACTATACTGCAGTTAGTACTGCAACATTCATTGATCTTTTTAAACGAAACAGAGGAGATGGGGAACACAATATGTTCTTCCTAATTATTATCTGCCACACAATCCATGTTTTACGTGTTGAAATTTTTATGTACACGCCGCCGACTAAGAATGGAAATTTGGATCCACATAATTTCTCCCCTGAAGCTTGTCCTCTCCTTTTTGTCTCCCCCGACCGGCGGGATATTTCTAGTTTCTACATACGGCCTCACAGCCGTACTTGCTCTCCATAGCAGATCTCATTTCCGCAGCAAATCGGTATATTCCTCTGCCGTGTTGAATAGGATAGTCGTCCAAGGTCTTTGACTGATGTGACCTAGCAAGAACAAGAAGGTCCACATCAAATGTCGACCAAGAAGGTTCACAAGACAATAGCAGCAGTGGTGCATGCATGTAGCCGACGAACTTAAACACGAAAATTCGAATGTGCATATGTGTAGCAACTAGCAAGATGGTATTCATATATTGAACTGGATTTACAGGATGACAGAGATGAATGATAGAAGAAACCAAGAACCTTCTATTACAAAATCAATATAGCTTTCCCTGAATTCTTCAACATTTCATGCAGATGTAAGTAAAGACCCTGCCTCTTCTGTTAACGGGTTAGTTGTAAAAGTTAAGTCGTCGATCTATGACTTGGTCAGAAGAACATGCTCCTTCCTGCTTCTGGTTTCTGTCATTACTTTTTTTCTGGTTATCTGATTTTCAATATAAAGTACGTCGCACCAATTTGGACCAGGAAGCTTGAATGTCATGAGCCGTGGGAAGGAAGCCTGCAGATTCGAATCAATGTGTGGGGGTTTTACAGACAGAGGAGGCTGTAGAAAACCAGAGGTATGAAAGCATTGTCAAGTTGTGCTGTGTAGGCCTCAAGTAACCCGCTGACTATAACCGCCAGAAAAAGATGGAGCCAGTGCTGCATAAATGACGAGATAGAACCATCAAAGACTGATCTATGTAGTTGCCTAAAGCTAAACCAAACCGCAGAGTCCAAGTCGAAATTCTAAATCTAGCGCGTGAAGACGGGAGGAGAAAAAGAGAGGAAACCTGTGTGAAGATATATCCAGTGGATGCTAGAACAGGCAGCAACACCGAGCAGGCAGCCAAAACAGAAGTTATGCCAGCTGCAGTGCCTTCAATAGTTTTCTCTAGCAAAAAACATAGATATTTACTGCAAGTTAGCAAGGTGACCTCAGAGCAATCGAAGGCCAAGGCCTTCTTTCCAGTTGGGAGGACAAAGAGTGCACTTACTTCCAGTTTTGCTCCACCTCAGAACACCATATTTGTGCCCAACCATGGATGCCTAAAACAACAATCGTAAGGTCAATATTGTATATAACTCAGAAAGAGGAGCAACAGTATCAAAGCTGGTTGACAAGAAATAAGCAGCAGCCTTCACAGTGACTTGACCTCAATTCTATCTCTTGGTGACTCACCATTGTATCTCCGATTCCAAGGCTCAAAATTCCAGCAAAAGGAGCAAGGGGACGATCATTATACCCAGAGGACAACCAAATTGGAAGTGCACATCCCAGTAAGAGCGAGAAGTGGCTGATGAATTTCAAGGCAATAGACAAGGATCCAATTAATTAGCATTCATACTGCTTTAGATAATTGATCAGAAAGAAGATGTCTTGCCTGACAATGAGAAGCTCAGAATCACGGTGGTCAGTGAAAGCATTCATAAACTGGTGAACAAGTTGTCCCAGCGGCCAAATTCTCCATACCTGGCAACCACGAACAAAACCAGCCAAGTAAAACATCACTACTAAGATCTCAGCATTCAAGTCTAAGTATTAAGTCAAGCTGGGTCTGCAAGTTGAATTAAGCTAGGGCCTCTGACAAGAAAGAGGTCACCCCAAAAGCATCACCAATATTATCTGCGGGAAAGGGATAGCAGATTCCATCAACTCACTCGAATAATCTCCAATGTCAAGAAGACTGCCAAGGCTGCCCCAAAGGCTAAATCAAGAAACTTTGGCTGAACACATTGGGCAAAGTAAGCCAAACATGTAAGCAAGAACGGATAGATATGTAGGATGAAACATGACTAAAAAACACCGATCAGAAGGAAAATAAGCTTTTGTTCTTGTTGAATTACCTGGAAGATGACTGCCGGAACAAACATAGAAACAGCCATAAGATGGTAGTACTTCCGAAGAAGAATCCGCTCAGTCTTACTGTTCTTTGATATGTAGTAGAAACGCCTCACGGATACGTATATCAAGCACACCCAATAGATACATAGGGATAGTCTTTTAGCTGGTTCAGAGAAAACAAAATCGACCACCCTATTCAGAAGCACAAGAGGTATGAGTGTGAGCACAATGATCCAATTACGCGTTAATGGAAAGAAATAAAAACAATTGGACCACAAAAAGAAATATCACAATGACTTTAAATGTTCAGGGAGCAGTACCATAAAAGTGGGTGTTTCTGAAAGTCCTGTACAAATTGCATCCACAATGGCATGACCACAAACATGATTAACCCAAATGAAACAAAGAAAATGAGAGATCTTCTTCTCTCATTTTGTATCATTGTGCCCGAGCTTGTCACACTTGGAAAGGAATCTAGTGCGTGAAGCAGAAATTTAAAGGCAACTGGAAACAGAAGAAGACCAAGAAGTAGTCCCTGCATGATGCCCCCGGATGTAAGCAACAAACTGACAACAAATTCCTCTCGGAAGATGAACTCGTTCAATCAGTTATTTTCACATGCATTTTACCTGAATGACAGTACTAATCTCATTTTTTCTAGTTCCATTTTGCACAAATGCCAACTCGGAAGAGCTCCAGTATCCATGAAGCTGTTCAAATAATACCATTAACAATATGAGATAGAAGTTGGTGTACTCTAGGAAGACCAAAAAGAAAACATTCTAGTGCAAAAAAGCACTGGCCTTTGCAATAGTGCATGCCGATATATCGCCAAAGTAGAGAACAAGTCCTGCCGTCACCAGAAGAGTCTCCCCTGAAATATAACAAACAAAGGACGCCTCAGAAGTTCATGAAATATCAACAGATGTGTAGAGATAAGGAAGGCCATCTGACACAGGAATGATTAACTACGTGAGCACATCAAATGAATAAAAGACAGTGCAAGCAGTATTAGTATACTTACCAATGGAAGAACATGAAGGAAATGTCTCGAGTAAATGCAGCATTAGTTTCACAGTGGCAAGTCCATGGAACAGCACCCACATCAACTTTGTAGTCGTGCTCATACCTGTGAGGATAAAGGCATAGCAATCAGACAAAGCCATGAGGGATAGCTGCAAGAATACAAAGGTACAAACAAGACTACAACAATGGTAACCAGCATCTCCCACAATCAACCTGTAGGATTGAAAATATACACATTGCACAAAGACCCGCACAAGAAAAGAGAAAAACTAACCGTTAGGGGAGATATTGTAAAATGCTGCAATCAAAACTATGCATCCAATGATGAACTTAGCAGATATTAGTACTCTGCGTGAGTGGGAGCGTGAACTTCCCGGTGCAGCCCATATGACTGAAGAGAGGAAGATCAACACAGCAAAGCAGCTAACTGAAGCGGCCCAGTATTGCATCTGTAGATAATCAACTTCTGCACAGTAAGTTGAGCTCAACATCAAACACACCCAGTGAAAACCACTGAAAAGTGCATATCAACTGAATGAAAAATGTTGGTTCGAGATGACGCGGGAAGTTACCCCGAAGCTCAATCTCGTCAAGTGACAATGCTCGTGAGAGCTGTATCAGCCTGGAGAGCATAAGTGCAGGCAATGTAACAGCACCAAGCAATATCCCTGATGAAGCACCAGGTCTGCAAAATAACATCCACTAGCTTGCTGGTAACGAATTCTCTACAAGCCTACCCACCCATTTCCCCCAAATTCGAGCTCAGAAACAGAGGGGAAAACCCCCGCACAATCAATGCTAATTGCGTTCCAAATGAAATCCAATCAAAACAAAATTACCTCAATTCAACAAGCAAATGGATCAGAACGCGAACCAGACATAAAAAAAAAAAAAAAAACCTAGCGAATCGGAGAAATGTAGCCAGCCACGCCAGCCACCTACCTAGTCTTGAGATAAGAGAGCGAACCGGAGCTCTCGCCACGGATCTCGACGCAGAGAGCGAAGAAGGAAAGGAAGGACAGAAATCCGCCGGGAAGGAGAAGAGACGGCGGGAGAGAGAACATGATGCAGGCGATGAACAGCACAACCACGGCCCTCTCGCCGGTGAGCAGCGGCGGGGTAGAGACGGACGTCATGACGGCCGGGGATGGAAGATCGCCGGAGACGGTCATGGACGGGGAGTGTTTTTAGCGGAAGATGGCTTTGGCGCGGGGGGATGGATGGGGGAATTCTGTGCCGTGCCGTCAGTCGGAAACGGTGGCCTGAGTGAGGGCACACGGTTTCCGGTCGTTAGATTAGGTGTCCATTTCTAAGTCATTCCGGGCCCACGCGATCACACGTGTATCAAGCAATCGCAAGCTGACACGTCATCCGGAGCCTTATTACTTTTCGGCCCCCCTTTCTTTTCAAACATACCCGTAATGCTACAGAACTTTGTGTTCTTACTAGCTCGTCTATAATAAACAAATTGATTGGTGCCTAAAAACGAGGAAGATGGAAGAAGGACTATCCTTACTCATTCAAAGAAGATGGCTTGGCCGCTTTAGGACTTGGAAACTATGAATGATGATCACCGGTGTCTACTTTGTAGTAACAGCCTTTTTGGTTCTTTGCTTACAGCTGCGACGGGCTACTAGAGGACAGAAAAAAGCCGCACTAATCTGACGTACGTTCGCCGGACCTTATCCCATGCACATGCACACAGGTTATTGAATTCTGCTTAATTAGTTTGTATTTGGATTTTTGGACAGTAAACTGATATAGCCTAGTTTGGGAATTGGGATAGAGGTTGGTTTCGGTTGATTAATGTATACATGTACTTTAGATCCACAAATTTTAATTTCGCATTTAAGTTTATAGATGCATTTACGTTACACAGCTATATATGTTGAGTTAAGTTTCCATATATGAAGTGTCATGGTACGAGTACCGGGTTGGATCAGGTCCTTAAGGCCTGTTTCTTAAGGAAAATCTTAAACCCCCTCCAACCAATAGGAGAAGGAGAGAGAAAATGATTGGCAATCATTGAGTAACTACCTACCTAATGCGTCCAAGGGTAAGACTGGAATATTATAATTTATTATTATTATTAAATAAAAGGAAAGTGGCGGATTTTAATATTATAACTCAAGAAAATCCGGATTTTAATTTTTTTTCCCGAAGAATCGTTCTCCCCCCAACCCTAAAAACCGTTTCTTCTTTAGAACTCGCCATCGTGCCGCGCAGCCGTCGGGTCTTCTCGCCGGCCTGCCCACCATACTCGTCCACCGTCTCGCCACCTTTCCCCCGTTAGCAAGTGTGTAGCCGGTCGTCGCCCCATCTTGCCATCTTCTTGTCGTCACGACGCCATCATGTTGTCGATTTCCCGTCACCTTCTCCGTCCCATTCCCACTGTCATCCTTGCCTGACTCCGCCGCCATCTGACATCTCCCCATTCGGTCGTCGCCCCATCTTGCCGGTCTCCCGCTGTCGAGGCGGAGTTTGTTAATAATATTATTGTTTATGTTGAAAAACGAAGGAAATTTGTTAATAATGAATTCGTCATTTGTTGCAGATTATGTATGAAATGTTAATAATGATATTGTATATTGTTAATAATACTGAGCAGAAAAGTTGATAATAGCGTCACTAAAAATGATCTCCCCATCCGGTCGTCGCCCCATTTTGTCGTCTCCCGCTGTCGAGGCGGAGTTTGTTAATAATATTATTGTTTACGTTGAAAAATGAAGAAAAATTCTTAATAATGAATTCGTCATTTGTTGTAAATTATGTATGAAATATTAATAATGATATTGTATATTGTTAATGATACTGAGCAGAGAAGTTGATAATAGCGTCACTAAAAATGTTTACAACACAACAAGTAAATCAAGCTTCAATTTAATTGAGAATGTTAATAATAGCGTCACTAGAAAATGTTAATAATGTAGGTGAAAACATTAATATGTATTGTTAAAACGTTGACAGCTCAGTTAAGTTGCTTTAAAAACCTCAAATCAGAAGCTCATATTGTGACAGCATTTTTAGTAACTGGTTAATAATTCCGATGATCTAATTAATAATAATGATGTGATAGGTTAATAATGTTTACAACACGGTCGGTAAATTGCGTTTCGATTTGATTGAGAAGGTTAATAATAGTATCACGGAAAAATGTTGATAACGTATATGAAAAAACTAATATGTATTGTTGACAACGTTGACAACTCCGTTACGTTGCTCTAAAAAACTCAAATCAGAGGCTCCCCTTATTGTCACAGTATTTTAGTTATTGGTTAATAATTTCAGTAATATAATTAATAATAGAGTCGCAGAGGTTAATACTGTGGACAGTACGACCACTAAATCGCATTTTTTATTGATAATTCTAGTAGCGTCAGTAAAAAATGTTAATAACATATGCCAAATCATTAATATGCACGGTTGAAAATGTTGACAAATCTGTTACATTGCTTTGAAAACCTCAATCCACTAGCTGCTCAATCCACAGGCTCCTCCGTTACGTTGACAACTCCATCGCGTTTCTTTTCGATGGCAAGCGACGGACGTAGCGGGCTGACAACAAGCTTGTTCTTACAGATCTTGGATTGTGGTATATCGTGTAGCACTACAAAAAAATTGATAATTACATTCAAAATATTACTAATGCTAAAAAAACGTTTAAAAAAATTACAAACATAAGCAAAACACATTACAAACATAAAAAAAAATATAAGACGAAATCATTGATAAAGACACTTGAAAAATTAGCAAACGTAAACAAAACTCATTACAAATAACATAAGTTAACAATAATCATAATAAAATTTCAACACGTCATAATTAGTAGGGTTAAGCCCATGCACGCCAAACCTTTAACGCCGCCGACGAGAGATAAGGGTTCACGGACAGACGGCGGCGACGGAAGCTGGGAGAACTGGACCGACGGCGGCAACGACGGTGGAGAACTGGACCGACGCTGGCTGGGACTCTGCGTTGGTGGATTGGGCCGACGACGGTGGAGAACGCTGGCGGGAGCTACTTCACCGGCCGGAGATCAGCGCGTGAGGGGAGCTAAATCGACGGCGGCAATGGAAGAATGACGAGCGACGTTGCTGGATTAGAACGACGACCGCAACGGGTGCTGGATGCCGTCGGCGGAGAAGGAGAATCGCCGGCCGGAGAGCTCAGCGGGAGGGACAGCCGGAGAAGAGTTTTGACTTGCGGGAGGAAAAATAAAAGGAGGATACGTGGGTATATACATTAATAGGGTTATGGTTTTTAATTTAATTGTAATTCCCTTAATAACCCTAACAACTATTTAACTAATAACTCCCACTAACTACCTAATCCTAAATCAGCCAATCACAATGCTTTAAGATCCTCCTTAAAAAAGAGGGTTTAAGGACCTGAACTTAGGCCTACGAGTACGAAGCGAAAATGAAACACACAAATGACAGATCTGTACAGTCAGGCATGCAACATGCTCCATGTCCGCCTTTCTGGGAATTTAATGAGTGCACAATATATATGTCGCCATTCTGACATTGAAATGGTGGAGACTTGGATTCTCGGTCTAGTCCCTTTTACTGTTTAACTCTCGACGAACCTCTGGCTTACTCATCAATATATATACGTCTACAATTCCAATCCACATATATATACGTTTAATTTTTAATTTGTTGTGTTGTCTAAACATGTTTAGATGTCGGAAGAAAAATAGTAGTTTGCATTAAAATGATGAATGACACACGGCACTTTACAATACTCTTCGACTTCGATTCAAATGATTAATAACTTGCTTATCAAGTTTATAAAATATATCAATAACTTACTGAGTTCTTGAGTTATTGGAGAGATTGAGAAAAAGATCAAGTTTATAGATGATGTTAATTTCTCTTTTATTGATTTTATGTTTGATTCCCTAATTCTGTCACCTCATTCTGGACATCAAACTCGACGTAAAACTTTTAAATAAAACGTTTTGACTTTGTCAAACGGCTAGTCAAACCTAAACAGTAAGTTTAAGCGTACTTTAGTTAAACCGAAATTAAATTATTGAAGTATCTCATATCTTCTTTCATAGAATTCCTTAGCATACTAATTAACCACCGCAAAAATATATATTACCGTGAGGCCAGAGTACATATACAGTGCGTGCCAATCACTCGATCATACAATTTGGCTAAACATTTAACCGTGCACGAGAAGAGACGAAATGGATGGAAATCCGGTAAACAGGCAAATTCATCGTTTGTTTGTAAAACTAGCCAGCCCACTTTCCACTCCTATATATACGATCTGCTCCCCTTCCCTCCAATTAATACGTGCAATACCAAAAAAATAAAAGAGAAGATGGCGGAGACACAGGACGGCCGCCGCCGCCACCGGAAGCCTCACGCCATCTTCATCCCCTACCCTCTTCAAGGCCACGTCATCCCCTCCGTCCACCTCGCCGTCAAGCTCGCCTCCCACGGCTTCACCGTCACCTTCGTCAACACCCACTACATCCACCACAAGATCTCCACCGCCACCGGCTCCGGCGCCGACGTCTTCTCCAAGCTCCGCGAGTCATCTCCCGGCGGCGAGAGCCTCGACATAAGGTACGCCACCGTCTCCGACGGGCTCCCCCTCGGGTTCGACCGGTCGCTGAACCACGACCAGTTCATGGCCTCGCTCCTGCACGTGTTCTCCGCCCACGTGGAGGAACTGGTCGCCGGGATCGTCGCCTCCGGCGGGGAAGACGAGGAGGTGTCTTGTTTGATCGCCGACACTTTCTTTGTCTGGCCGGCCAAGGTGGCCAAGAAGTTCGGTTTGGTTTGTGTTTCGTTCTGGACCGAACCGGCCCTGGTTTACACCCTGTACCACCACGTCCACCTCCTCCGCCAAAACGGCCATTTCGGTTGTCAAGGTACTGAAATGTCGAAAAATGTAAACATTGGGTACTACTTACGATATTTCTCCAGGGTGGTAGTTTTGACTTTTTTGACTTTCTATTGGTAAACGTAATGTAGATCGACGAGAGGATGCGATAGAGTATATACCGGGGGTGGCGAGCATCGAGCCAAAAGACACGACGTCGTATCTCCAAGAAGCTAACGAGACCTCGGTCTGCCACCAAATAATCTTCACGGCTTTCCAGGATGCACGGGGTGCGGATTTCGTGGTAGCAAACACGGTCCAGGAGCTCGAGGCGGAGACGATCTCGGCCCTGCAGGCCCAAATGTCATACTACGCAATTGGGCCCATCTTCCCGCCGGCAGGGTTCACAAACAAGAGTGCGGTCCGGACGAGCCTGTGGTCCGAGTCGGACTGCAGCCACTGGCTCGACACGAGGAAGCCCGGTTCGGTCCTCTACGTTTCGTTTGGAAGCTACGCCCACGTTGAGAAACCCGACCTCGTGGAGATAGCACGCGGGCTCGCGCTGAGCGGGGTGAGTTTCGTGTGGGTGCTTCGGGACGACATAGTGAGCTCGGACGATCCGAACCCTTTGCCCGTGGGGTTCAGGGAGGAGGTTTCTGACCGTTCGATGATCGTAGGTTGGTGCAGCCAGAAGGAAGTACTGGCGCACCGGGCGATCGGAGGGTTCCTGACGCACTGCGGGTGGAATTCGATACTGGAGGCTGCGTGGTGCGGAGTGCCGTTGTTGTGCTTCCCGTTGTACACGGATCAATTCACGAACCGTAAATTGGTGGTGGACGATTGGAAGGTTGGGATTAACCTGATTGATTGTAAAGCTGCTAGGAAAGAGGACGTGGCGAGGAATATCGGTCGTCTGATGGGTGGAGACTTGGGAGATGAGCTGAGGAAAAGAGTCAAAGAAGTGAAGAAAACTCTGGCAAGTGCACTCGAGAGCAATGGATCGTCTGCTCGTAATTTCGGGCAATTCGTCGAGGAACTTAAGAACAAAATCCAAACTACTGGTGAACGGAGAAGTGAATAAATTCGTAATCATCATTGTTTTCCTCTGTATCAAAAATTATCAATTCTTATTAGATGGTTGTGACTTGTGGGAGAAGCTTGGTGGATGGGAACATTTGTAAGGACGCATAAATTAGATCACACGTTAAGATGTTTGGATAGAAAGATCTCCAAAATAGGAGATTGTACATGCCACTTGCCAATCTTGTCTTGGGATAGTATGATACATAGAATGTAATTATGTAAGCCATTGTTTAACGACATTTTCCAATGCACATAAATATTATTTGTCATTTACCTTCAGTGTTTGTTTCACCTGTCATTGTTGGTTTCAAATATCAATTATGACGTAAATAGCACAATTCATTTAGTGTCACGTCAAGTTGTGATGGTGACGAAAATTACTTGAAGCTAGTACCCTAAGGGTACATGAGGAATTAGGTACAATTTGGTCAGCCGCCTAATTTCTTTTGTGTAATTAGGTTGAATAACTACGTTAATTGCACTGAACCCTCCACCGCACGTAATGAGCATACTAAGAGAAGCAAGCACCAAAGACACAAGGCAAGGGAAGAAATAAATTTATGTTTTTACTTTCATTTGAAGCAACAAAAATTGCCAACATTTAACAACAGAGATCAGTTCCTCCTTTTCATCTGGAACTGCTGCTCTTATTAACATGTTCAAACCTGCAAAACTTTAGTACCGAAGCATTTTTCCCCACGCGCAAATGGAGCACGAGGAACACTAAAACCCGGTACGCGATCACCATGATGAGCAAAACCAACAAGTTCTCCCATTTGGCATTGTTGTCGAGAGAGATGTCGTATGCGCTTCTGATAGCTTGGTACCCCGAAATGCTTCTCACCTGGCCTACAGCGAATGTAGTCACCAGGTACTCGTTCTCCAAAAGTCCCTGAATGGAGTATGTATGGAAAGCGAGGTATGACACGGGATATGTCCAGAACGGGCCAGGCAAGGCGTTTCGGATTCTGAAGTATCCTGCTGAGAGCATCATCACCACCTGAAAAAGGTTTTACCAGACCGTTACTTAGGGCTACATTTTATTATGAGCATAATAATATCTCCCTGTTGATATTGGCTCACTTACGTGAATGGACACCAATGTGAGGACGCTCCAGAAGAGATGTTGCCAGAGGGAAACGACGAGAAGCATTAGTCCTTCATTCACTAGGAGGCACATGAAGAAGTTGAGGACGAAGTACATTAACAAGCTGAACTCATCTCGTAACCCGATTAGGAAGTAGAATACTAGGCTTGATGAGATGGAGACTAGGAATAGGAAGGGTATGCTGGAGAGGAACTGGCCAAGTAAAAAGACTAGCGCCCCTGAATGCATGTTCGATTCTTCACTTGCATATACCTGCAGCAGGGTAATTGCAGGCCATTCAACTAAGATGTCTGGGACATTGTTATCTAGAGAAGATTAAAGAGAACCATAAAGATTTTGAAAAAAGAAAGTTGCTTACCTTGACTTCTTTCAGAAGTGAAGGTACTCCAGCAATGCTAAGAAGTGAAGTAAATGAGACAAACACAAATACAGCAGCAACTCTTGTCTGCAAAATTAGAACAAACACCATGCACATGTTTCTCGTTATTATAAATTAATTTCTTGATTCTCATTGTCACTATTGATGTCAGATGGAGAAATGTCGGTTTGTTTTCAAGAGACTCACCACGACTGAGGAAAGAGAATGGCCCAAGCTTGAGAATACAGTACCGATACATACTGTAAGGCCCATATAGAGAATAAGGCGAAGCCAATAGTATTTCCATTCTCTTGACATAATGAGCAAAGATCTCCAAGTCAGCACGGCAATTCTTGTCCCAAAGCCAGCTCTTCCCTTGGTTTTGAGCAGTGGACCTTCCTGAAGGAGCAGTCAAGACTGAATCAATGAGTTTATAAAGAAAATACACAAAAAAAAAGGTTACTTATTGAAGAAGTTCATGCAGGTTTGATTGCAAAATATGACTAAGCATAGTATCAAGGTTATTTCAATAACAAATGGGGGTGTAGCTCATATGGTAGAGCGCTCGCTTCGCATGCGAGAGGCACGGGGTTCGATTCCCCGCACCTCCAGTTTTTAACTTTTTCGAAAACATTTCATGTTAGGAGCTAGAGAAAATATCTGATCAATGACAATCATACATTACCCTTTCAGTGAGTCTCACGATCATATTTTCAACAGCAGCAGCATCTGCCGATTGTTTATAGGTTGCTTCCAGGGTGCGTATTGCAACAGCAGTATCCATATTCACTGATGAAAAATCGCCATGGTCATCCTGCCACCGTATTTTCCCACACATTGCCAACATTAGAAACAGTTTTAGTAGGCTTGAGCCCCCCACAGATGAAGTAGATGTGCTAACATCATGTGATGCTATAGTAACTTGAATGCCAAACCAATTAGCATTAACTACATTCCTTCATCTCTTTGGAATCGTCCCAATGCAAGGGTGCTGTAAGCATTAGAGAAAAGAACCATTTACCAAATCTTACCTGCCAGTTTTTGCACATAGCAATGATCCTGTCAAAATCCGTATTAATGGCACGCAAGAAGTGATCGGACGGACTTTGCATAATAGGGCAGGGAAATCCAGCATTTGAGAAGTGCTGCATCAACATGATAAATATCTGATCAATATATGAACCGCCGATGGCTTACATATGAGTGCAAGCTTTAATATGTACTATGACTTGAAGACATGCACAATGTGCAACCACAATGATAATATTTGCTGATCACCGCTCATTAAAATACATATACTAACAAAAATCAAAGATATTTTCACAGTCTCACCTGCAAGCAAGCCAATGTTTCCCCAAAGAATAATGTGTTTCCATTCGAAAGCAGGCAAATTCGATCAAAGAGACCAAACACCTCCGTGCTGCTTTGGTATAAAGTGAAAATGAGAGTGCATCCCGTGCTAGCAAGTTTCTTTAAGGTAACCATCATCAGAAGTGCAGAAACACTGACACAAGAAACCAACTCGTTCAGTACCTTGGAAACGACACAAAGCTGCCATGTAATACAATATTTTCTACTAACCTGTCCAAATGATAAAGGGGCTCATCTATGAACAACACATGGGGCCTCATGACAAGTTCTCTAGCAATGTTCACACGCCTTCTCTCACCCCTCGGCAGTCCCTTCATAAAACAGTGGCCTCCAATCAACTTATTTGCATAATCAGTCAGCGACATAGCATGGATGGCATCCTCAACCACATTCTTCTTCTGGCAGAAAAAGCCAGGAAGTTGAAGCAATGCAGAGTAGTACAGAAACTCTCGTACAGTAAGTGCTCCAATTAGCGTAGTTTCTCTTTCGACAAAACCCTGTATATTGGGAGAAGAAATCATGAGTCCACTAGGCAAAAATAATGCTACTACATTGCACCACTGAATAAGAAAAACTTACATAGGAGCCATAAGGCATGGGTGACTTAGTGCCATTCACAAACACTTCACCATACACTTTGGCCGAATGATGCAATCTTCCTGCAATGGCTCTTAGGAGAGTGGATTTGCCAGATCTAGCTGGCCCCATAATCACAGTCATTGTCCCTGGCAATGCCAACCCACTTGAGCTCTTGATGACCTTATCTGAATACTTCCTCTTCCCCTTAATCGTGACGGTCAAGTCTTTCCACACAACACAAGCACCTGCAATCTTTCTCACTGAAGAAGAAGCAGTTTCTGGTATAGGTGGAGATGGCAGTGAGCCACTGTTGAGCTTGGAAAGAGATGGAGAAGCTGGAGTGGTGGCCATATTGATGGAGTCTTGATCAACTCCTTCCTCCATTCTAACGTCAGCATCTGTTTCCCATTCAGGTGAATCTTCAAATGAGATTGGTTGCCTAAGTGCACCGGGCTTCCTGAGATAGAAGAAGTTGCTTGAAGGCACCCTACTAGCTGGACTGCTTGCCGAGGATGAAGAAGACCTGTAGTTTTCTGATTGAGACTGTATCTCTTCCATCTTTATGAACTTCCTAACCAAGGTTTTCAATAGGGCAGAACAGCAGTCTACAATTCAAAGCGGATAGAGCCTTAAACTGCTTCCCCTTGCTGCCAAGAAATGCACGGGATCAAACCATGGTCAAGGGATAATGAGCCTTCAGGGTTTGGAAAAAGGAAATGTGTCACAAGAACTGAACTAAATGGATAAAAGCAGAAACACAGAACCCCATATTCAATCAAACAAGAGCTAGAAACCCAAAAATTTCCCCTCACTTTGGTAATGAATAAGGAATCATTTACCAGATATATGAACAGTGAAACCCAACCCCATTCTGTTATCCATTTCAATGGGAAAGCAACATCCTTCTCCCACTCAAACAACACTCTTTATGCTCTGCTTGGTAGCGAAGAAAATGGAAGAAAAGGCAGGGAATGTTTAGAGAGAAAAGAACACTAAAGATGAAAGCTTTATGAGCATTCCAATCTATCCCTTACTCCAACTATCCAGAAACTCCATTAATTTTGACTTGCTAGTTATTTACCGAAGAACCCAACAGCAACAAGTCCACCCAGCTTGAAACTTAAGCTCATTTCCCTATCAAAGTACTAACCTTTACCACCATCTCAATTAGGGGAAAGAACACGGAAACATTAAGTACTACTAAAACAGACTGGAAAACAGAATAAGAACAAACAACATTGAAGTCGGCAAAAAGAAGACAAAAGTTACTAAAGAGGCAAACCTGGATCTGAGTAAGGAAGCTGAAGACGAAAGGAAAGACTAAGCAGCAGAGCGAGAGGTAGATGGAGAGAGAGAGAGAGCCGACGGTGGAAGAAGTGAGAGTGGAAGAGAAACCAAGAGAAAGAGCCAAAAGGTGATTAATGCTAGTGAGTAATGACCTGAGGCTTTTTAATAAGCTCTCTCTCACAGTGGGAACTTTGGAAACTAGTACTGGAACTGGAAGCTTGGAAGTCTTCCCGGGTTGAGCTCGACCCGACTCACTAGCCCGAACCCGGATCCGGGGATCAACATCTGCTTTTGATTTGCTTTTCTTTTCCTTTTTCTTTTTCATTACCGGGTTTTGCTGTCCTTGCTAGATTTTGGCAAGCCATCCCCTCAATTACCTCAACTCACTGCTGTCTCCTCAGCAGAGTCATCAACTTTGCTTCTTTTGTTTTCTACTCCTCCTTTGGCATGTTTCTCTGTTTGTCTTGCTTCCTTTTTAGATTTATCATTTTATACACTGTTCTTTGTATGTTAATGGCGGGTGTTTACTATGATTTGAAGGGAATGAACGAATTTTGTTTCCAAAATGATGATTTGGTATTGTTAATTATGAGGAAGGAATCTAGTGATTTGAGCAATGAAGGAAATATCAGTCGAGATCACACTACTGCTTTAAATGATTATCCACCCACTCATCAGCCATCACAATCAAATTGGTTCATAACTTGTTCTTTTATGGTATATATGAACAATTCCAACGATTTAATCTATTTACAACAATCTGTGAATAAATTGTAATAAGAAAAAAACACAATGGTTATGCTCTACACGAACTATGCAAGACAACAATGGAAGAGCGGGCAGAGTTATCTATTTCAAACTTAGCGACAAGCCCTTATTAAGACTATATACATAGTATATAAACTAGTTTAGCTTGTCTAGTGATCATATGGTTGAAATCTATTGTATACGTCTAACCAACAAGTCAGTGTGCACATTTCCTAGATAATTAACAAATATCCGATACTCACTAAATCTTCTCATTTTAAACGTTACATCAAACTTGAGCCATCAAAGATATCATTCCAAACAACAACACGAAACAAATTCCTTTCAGGTCATCAACCTTTGCGACTTCACACCAAACACATACGCTGAACTCTTTCCCTTCCAAAACGGCAAAACCCGGCTCTCCTTCAACGTTCCAAATTCCACCAATTAACCTTTTTCTCGACATTACTTGCTAGGTTCACTTTCACTGACATTGTTTGATGGTTAAGTTAGCTATTAGTGGAGTGTGCTCAAAAGGATTATCAAAGTTAGCTATTGGAGATTAAACTAATAAGTCAACTGATATAATTGGATCGGGCCACTAATCATTCCCCATAATGGGCCGACACAGACAGCAGAATAGCATGCCACATATGCTGCAAATGATTTCCCTTGTTGTTTAAGGTAAAATCTATATCTTAAGAGTAATGTCGAGGCATGGAGACACTGTTGTTTCATGGATAACTCATAACCGTTATAATATGATGATGATTCATCATTCCTTATATCTTTTTACAAATGTTGAAGAAGATGGTAGATTGGATCATATGAACATAATGGGAAGAATATATGCTGTCCCTTCAGTTCCCATAAACAAGCAATTAGAAGAAGGGCTTCTTTGCTTTTAAGCTTTTCCCCCCCTTTTTCCATACTTATTTGAAACATTCCTTAACGTTATTAGGCTTCAAAGCCAATCAAAAGTTCACACACTCCCTTGATTTGAATGTATCTCATGTCTCATTACCACTCAACCACAACAATGCATGATTAAGATGGGATCTAGTATTGTATTCAATTCAATAAAATGCAAGTAAGTGTATGCTACAATTACTCATTTAGGGGCATGATGAATAATACAATAACAATTGTTGGGAATTGTTAAACCAGAGGTGTTGGAAGATATGACATTTTATCAAGCGAAAGTTAAACTCATAACTAGCTGCCACACTAGTGGGAAACAACGCAAAGGGGTTTGTTCGGCCACAAATAGGTTACTCTATTATCCCAATCAAGTGCAAATAAAATGACAAACAAGCCATGTGAAATAAAGTTGTCATTAACCTGCAAATCTCTTTCAAGATGCCACCTCGATTGACCTTTGTCTCGACAAATGCCCCAATTGACCTTGTCAATCACCACAGTATCACCTCCCCCCCATCATATAGGATGTCGCATGCACCATTTGAATACATGTCATGCCACATAGGGATGGCGATGTGATGAGTTTAGGGCGGATTATGCTAAACAAATTCTCATTCCCATTTTCATTCGTAAACGGTAAACCAATGTCACTCATCACCATCCCCAAATGAGTGACATTTTTTTGTATCTGCTTCCCCGTTGTTTTTGAATACTCGATAACATGTAATCATAAACTAATCATTAAAAGTACGAGAAACATAAGAAAATTAAATTATTAGGAGAAATTATCGTTAAAAGGGTCATAAAATGTATTGTTGGAATTCGAAAAATGAAATGAATGCGTTTAGGGTTACATTATTTTTAAATTACAGATGCAGGAGAGAATGATCAATATAATTGACAGTAGATAATATATGAATTACATGTGAGACGATTATGAATATGGAACTGTGAACATCTAAATCCATCCCCAATCCAATCCTACTCCTCATTGACAGATTGAGACCAAGATTGTGGTCGAAGAATTGCATCTTATTCCAAAGTTGTAAACACCATAGGATGGCATCATTCATGGGCATTATTGAAGACCAATTGCCATCCTTGCAACGCCTGCCTAGTGCCTAGTAATAGAAAGGGCATCCAGCCCAACAGAGGTTCTAAAAAAGACTCGGGCCGAAAATCCACCAAAGAATAAAAAGGCCCAGCTCAGATGTAAATACTCGCCAGCCCGTATAAACCGATAGAAAGAGAATCCCGATTCCTAAAGAAATTTGGCATTCCAAGATACGAACGAACTTCACATATTTCCGAGTCGGAAATAGCTCCCAATTCCTGTAGCCAAACAGACCCCGTCCTCTCTTGATAAATACAAGCAAGACTTTCTCTCTCCTCGCCTCTCCCTATTTATAAATCTACCACAGCGACCTCAATCCAGAACTCTCCCTCACTCCGTCCATTATTATTCCTTCCTTCACTCAAGCTGTTTACTTTACTGACGAACTCTCCCCAAAAAGATAACAATGGCGGACAAGCCCGAATCTTCCGATGCGTAAGTTCTCTTTGCTCGCCGCCACTGTTTTTACTTTTATGATCGCTTCCCTCTCCCAACGGTTCTGCTGGCGGTGGCCGCTCAATTCCATCAATCGCTGATTATAATACGTTGGTTTTGCCAGGAAATCGGGGAAGAAGGACTTCTCCACCGCGATTTTGGAGAGGAAGAAGTCGCCGAACCGTCTGGTTGTTGACGAGGCCGTCAACGATGATAATTCCGTCGTCGCGATGCACCCTGATACCATGGAGAAGCTCCAGCTCTTCCGCGGCGATACTATTCTCATCAAGGTTTGTTTTTTTCGGTTCCTTACTTTATGGGTGATGTATTGATGCTCAGGGGACGGAGGGTTTGGTTATGGTCAGTGGGTGCTCTTGTTTATTGCGGTGGTGATTGCCGCTCAGAGTTTTTGGTTCTAGGGTTTGCTGTGGATTTTTATTTGCTGGACTTGGTTTTGTCTAGTTGTGTGTCTATTAGTTGCTCCTGTGAGTTGTCAATTTGCTTTTAGTGATCTGATTATGTCGGCTAGAAGGAGACTTGATCACAAGTTTCTCGATTTCAAGCATTCTCTTTAAGAAAATGCCTTCTGGAGGCTGGAATATCTCTGTTGAATGTTGTTTCCGTCATCATTCCTTTGGGCTTGTGCTAGGTGATTGTTGTTATGTGTTCTGACTATAATTTGGTGGACAGGGCAAGAAAAGGAAGGATACTATCTGCATTGCTCTTGCTGATGAGACTTGTGAGCAGCCAAAGATTAGAATGAACAAGGTTGTTAGGTCTAATTTGAGGGTGCGACTTGGAGATGTTGTTTCTGTGCACCAATGCCCTGATGTTAAATACGGAAAGCGTGTTCACATACTTCCAATTGATGACACAATTGAAGGTGTCACTGGAAACCTTTTTGATGCATATCTGAAGCGTGAGTTTCTATAAGTTTCCTTCTTCAATTTGCCTCCTTTCCCTTGACACGTCGAATTCTGACATTGTTTTTTCGCGCCAGCTTATTTCCTGGAGGCTTATCGTCCCGTGAGGAAGGGAGATCTCTTCCTTGTTAGAGGTGGCATGAGAAGCGTAGAATTCAAGGTCATTGAAACTGATCCAGGGGAGTATTGCGTGGTTGCCCCGGATACTGAGATTTTCTGTGAGGGGGAGCCAGTGAGAAGGGAGGACGAGGATAGGTTAGATGAGATTGGTTATGATGATGTTGGTGGGGTCAGAAAGCAGATGGCCCAGATCCGTGAGTTGGTTGAGCTGCCCTTAAGACACCCTCAGCTCTTCAAATCTATTGGTGTTAAGCCACCAAAGGGTATTCTGCTGTATGGTCCTCCTGGTTCTGGAAAGACATTGATAGCCAGAGCTGTGGCTAATGAAACTGGTGCATTCTTCTTCTGCATCAATGGACCTGAAATCATGTCGAAGTTGGCTGGGGAGAGTGAAAGTAATCTGAGGAAGGCTTTTGAAGAGGCTGAGAAAAATGCCCCTTCTATCATCTTCATTGATGAGATTGACTCCATTGCCCCCAAGAGGGAGAAGACACACGGTGAAGTTGAAAGGCGTATTGTCTCACAACTGCTGACTCTCATGGATGGACTTAAATCTCGTGCCCATGTGATTGTGATGGGTGCTACCAATCGTCCAAACAGCATTGACCCAGCTCTCAGAAGGTTTGGGCGATTTGACAGGGAGATAGATATTGGTGTTCCTGATGAGGTTGGACGTCTCGAGGTTCTTCGCATCCACACAAAGAATATGAAGCTATCTGATGATGTATGTTCCTAGCTCTTTATATCTTCTATAATATTATTACGTCACTTCTTTCTGGTTGGCCCTTTTGCTCTGATCCCAGCAGGACTTCAATATGATTATACTGATTGCCTACTACATTGAAATGATTTGCTTTTGCAGGTAGATCTGGAAAAGATTGGAAAAGATACCCATGGATATGTCGGTGCTGACCTTGCTGCTTTATGCACTGAAGCTGCACTTCAGTGCATCAGGGAGAAAATGGATGTTATTGATCTGGAGGATGACACCATTGATGCTGAGATACTGAATTCGATGGCTGTTAGCAATGAGCACTTCCAAACTGCTCTAGGAACTAGTAATCCCTCTGCTTTGCGAGAAACGGTGAGTCTTATTGAACCTATTTTGTGGATGCTATTTAATCCAAGTATACACATTTGCTTACTTTTCCCTGTAACAGGTGGTTGAAGTACCAAACTGTAGCTGGGAGGACATTGGTGGGCTTGAGAATGTTAAGCGAGAACTTCAAGAGGTATTGTTCTCACCTTTCAAGTTGCATCGACCTCTTCTTTAACTACCTGCTTATTACTGGACTGCTTTAGTTGATACTGATCTCTATATCTCTTTTGTGGCGTGCTTCTGCTTGACAGACTGTTCAATATCCCGTGGAACATCCCGAGAAGTTTGAGAAATTTGGCATGTCACCTTCAAAGGGAGTTCTGTTCTATGGCCCTCCGGGTTGTGGGAAGACTTTGTTGGCTAAGGCAATTGCCAATGAGTGCCAAGCAAACTTCATCAGTGTCAAGGGTCCTGAGCTCTTGACGATGTGGTTTGGTGAGAGTGAAGCTAATGTCAGGGAAATCTTCGACAAGGCCAGACAGTCTGCACCATGTGTCCTTTTCTTTGATGAGCTCGACTCCATTGCAACTCAGGTACAGTTTCTTTGATCCCTAACGTGGCTTTTTCTGTTGGACCTTAATTGTGTCATGTTGGTTGTAAATCTCATTTGGAATTGTGTACCATTGCAGAGAGGAGGCAGTGTTGGTGATGCAGGTGGTGCTGCTGATCGTGTTCTGAACCAACTTCTCACTGAAATGGACGGCATGTCAGCAAAGAAGACTGTCTTCATAATTGGCGCCACGAACAGGCCCGACATCATCGATTCGGCACTCCTCAGGCCCGGCCGTCTTGACCAGTTGATCTACATCCCTCTTCCTGATGAGGACTCACGTCATCAGATTTTCAAAGCATGCTTGAGGAAATCACCAATCTCGAAGGATGTTGACTTGAGGGCATTGGCCAAGTACACTCAAGGCTTCAGTGGTGCTGACATCACCGAGATATGCCAGCGAGCTTGCAAGTATGCCATCAGGGAGAACATTGAGAAGGTATTACTTAATGGAGCCCCAACTTTGTCTTAATGTCTTACCCCGTCCGGATTAAAACCGCATTATATATTAGCAATTTCACACCTGCCCTAATTCTGAATCTCAATTTTGTGTCTGGTGTTCGTGGATGATAGGATATTGAGAGGGAGAGGAGGAGGAAGGACAATCCTGAGGCGATGGACGAGGACGTCGATGATGAGGTGGCAGAGATTAAGGCAGCACACTTTGAGGAGTCGATGAAGTATGCACGTCGCAGTGTGAGCGATGCAGATATCAGGAAGTACCAGGCGTTTGCTCAGACATTGCAGCAGTCAAGGGGCTTTGGATCAGAGTTTAGGTTCTCGGAAACCTCTGCCGGAGGTGGTGCAACAGCAGCATCTGATCCGTTCTCAGCCCCAGCTGGTGGAGCTGATGACGATGACTTGTATAGTTAAGTGAGAAAGAAAGGATAGTAATCCGCCAACCAAGAGATCGTAGCAGTGGAAATGCTCTCTCTGGTTCTGGTAGAGAAAAACAGTTCTTTTGTGTCTTTTATGGTTTGTTTGTTGAGAGGCCGTTGTGTACTATCTGGGTTAGTGGGCTAGCGCGAACATTTGACATCTGCGTTGCTGTGTTAATGTTCTGCACTGTTTTTATTTAAGATGAGGTTATAACTTATAAACGTGTTATCAGCTATGTTAATCAGTTTCACTGCTTTTCTCTGTGTATATCCCTGGATGTTTCGGCCATAGCTGCAGGTTGTCATGAATAAAAGTTGAAGAAATCCCTGTTGAGGGTTTGATCCTGAACTGTATGCCAAGATTTGTCAGATAGTAATCTAACAGAGCTTGCAATTGGTAACTTCCAGTTTGCCTCTGTCATTAGCAGAACTAAGAAAAAATAATTCTCAGAACCTTAGTTTCCATTTGCACAGCAACAGAAGGATGGATCTCTTATCAGGTGAATTAACGAACTTTACTTCCTACAACCTAGTCATGAACGGGAAATGAATAAATGAAGAAGCTACAGAACATGCGAAAATAAGCCGGAGGAAAAAAAAAAAACTTTGATCTAGAATTCCACAAGCAGTGCAATTGCGACTGATGTGTAATTGGGGTGCAGCAAACACTCTCAAGGGTAGCGGTGGTGGCTGATGAAGTTGGGAGTTTCTTCAATGGCAGTTAGAACCAAGCAGGGGAAGGTAGTTGACATATCTGGAAGGAGCAGAGGTGTGTCTAAACCCTTTCGGCATGCAGTTCTTCACTTCCTTCCCTCCAAACACCACAACTTGCCCTTCTCTGCCGCCGTGATTCCTCTTAAGCTCCACATACCCCTTCTCTTTCGCCGACGAATCGTGATAGGGAGGAACATCATTCACCATTGTGCTAGGAACACTTGATGGTGGCTGCCGGATGTCACGACCGCCCTCGATCCTCCCCATCATCGCCATGCATATGATCACCATCACCAGCAATGTTGCTTCAAACTTCACAACCCTGCTGCAGCTGCAACAACACTTCTTCATATCTTTGGAGGAGGAGATAATGGGTAAGAAACCTTGGGAGGGTTTTGAAGGATTATATGATTGATGGTGGTGATGAATGACGATGATGATGAGTTTGTAGAGGCAATGTAGCTCCCTATAAATAGGATCCCCGTGACATAAAGCAATAGATAGGCAGAGAGAGTGTGAGACATGAATGAAAATGAATACAGGTGGTGGAGTTTGATCTGCAACCAGCTACTGGTATTGCAATATATTTGTTTCCCGGCCACCATTAAATGTGTGTTTGGTATTCTGGCTTGTGCTTTGAAATTGAATCTGCTGCAAGAGAGTGAGAGAGGAGGGAAGAAAGGTGGGGGATTGCCCGTGAGCTCTCGTTATTGCACCTCCACAGTCACCTTCCAACCCCAACTAGCCACAGCTGCTAAAAAAATCTACCCTGCCTGCCAGCATGTATCTTCTTTTATTACCTTCTTATTATAACTTCTGTGTTAGCTGTATACATTAAAACAAATCCTCTCTCTAACTTACCTTTTCTCTGCCTTCTCTCTAAGTTAGGCTTCAGATTCAAGCTCCATGGGGCTGCCGGCGGCTTCCCTTTGGGACCGACGGTGGCCCCCCAACCCTTTTTTTCTTTCCAGCTTTTTATTTTGTTTTGGTTCCAGTTTTATTCTCAGTGCATGTTTCGTTTGTTCCTTGTCCAGATCTCCGTTTCACCTTCATGCCCATCTTTGGGATTTTCATTCTGCCACTCCTTGTGAGATGGATGTCTCCTGTTCCAGACTCTACTTCTGATCCTCAGATTTAGATGTTTTGGTTCTTTCTCTCGGTGGTCAAAGGGGGCTATAGATCTCTGATCGGTAGCTTGTCTTCGCATCTTCTTACCTTTCATCTACCTCCTTGCTTCACCCATTGAGCCGGTGTTTCGGAGATGCAAAGGCCTTCTCATATGCAGCGGCCTGGATGCGGTTCTAAGATGTTGAAGGCAGGGATGCATCGGCCTGAAGCTCGTCTCTTTTCTCCAAGCCTGTTCGTTGCCGTTTTCTTGGTCTCCGGGCTCCTCGCGGACTGCTGTTCTCCCGTTGTTGTGTTGGTCCGATCGTTGCACGGCGAGCTGGTGGTCGACGTTGGTTTTTCGGCGCTCTGTTCGTATGGTTGGCGGCGGCAGGTTGGAGAAGAGATGATGGCTAGGGTTGATGTTGGTAGTTGTCTGTAGGGTTTATTGGGCTCACTTTGCAGGCTCTGGGGTTTGGGCTTCATTTGTTGTTTTCTTTTTGAAACATTTGCTAGGGCTTTGTTTGTGGGCTTTGTTTTCCCTTTTGATTTCTGCTGTATCTTTCCATGGGTTTTACCCTAAACTTTGTACTCACTTTTGAAGTGCAATATAAGCAGCTTCTTGTCAAAAAAAAAAATATTATAACTTCTGCATTCCATCACTTTCAAGTTTCAACAATATCTTCTTCCCGCCAAAAATTTCACTGCCCTGTAGGATTCTATAACAACTGGATTTCTTGCTACAATCAAATCTTAAATCCATGTTAGGCAGCTCTTTGATTTGGGTGACTCTCACCCAACTCTTCAAGTTTGCCCTAATCATATGAAATGCTAGTGTTACACATCAAACTAGGAATCGACACGTTAATTATGGATAACATTCATGAGCAGACAGATAACTTTAACGGCTCGTGAAGCTTTGTAATATTATGTATCTTCTGAACTACTTCATACAGGGGCGGACCTAGGTTAGGGATAGGTTTGTCCATTGACAAACCTTGGTCCAGTTGCACAACGTATGGGCTTCAAAGATCCTACCTCCACTGCTTCCTTGATCAGATGCCCGAGTCTTTCCAACTCCCCGTGATAGTCGTCTAATAAGGCTGGGACAAAAGTACTCTCACTTATTATACGATAGCACTGGGGATTGGATGCTTCCTCAACAGCAGCTCCTATCCCATCCAACTCCATCTCCATCATTGCATATGAAAATATAGAAAGTAAAGAAGAAAAAGCATAACCAGAGGAATTGTGTAAAATAAGTAAATTTATCTAGTTGAGGCGGGCCCCTTTGGTTGCGAGCTGGAGCTGCCATAGCTTATGGCCAGAGCAAGAGGGGGCCCCAGCACAAAGAACAGTAAGGATAACGAGTGCAGAGCCCGGCAAGCGGGTCTTCTTTTCTTTTTTTGGTGATAGGCTCTCCCGCCCGAAGGTTTCAAGCAAGAGTATGACTCTTTTAGGTTGATTTCGGGGCTATTGATGTTCTAGACGTACAAAATTCCTTTGTAATATTTTAATTTAGTAATGGAAGAATTTGAACTTAAAATTGTTTGACAATCCTTAATAATTTTGTTTTATCGTTGAATACCCTTGATATAATTTCTGGGTCCGCCACCGACTTCATAGGTACAGAGAGCTTACCTCCTAACTGTGTAGAGCATGATTCCATACCTAAATTTGTGTATATATTCTCATTGATCTAATCAAAGTAAATCAAGCTTTGTCACTCTTAATTCTCTCTTACTAACTCGAGAAAACAAGAAAAGGCAAGTGACATTGACGTTTCGATGGATTCATTAACACAATCATACTATCAGTTATATCGATCGGATACCAATTTCAGCGTCATTCCAACCGTTTGTTGAGTTTTCGAGATATTCAATACTCATTTAACGATGCTTAAGTTCAATGTTGGTGGATATCTGGATTGATGAAATTAAACCGCCATCCCATTAGTTGAACCTGCTTTAGCTTTACTTCATTCATGGCTTCTGCACTGAATCAAAAAAGCTGACCAGCCAAAGGCCCAGCTGGCCAGCAATTTCAATCCGTGGGATCGGTGCGTGTTTAATGCAAAAAGCGTCACAATTTTTGGGTCAGCAAACGCGGCCCAACGCGGGACTCAACTGCTCTCATAGTGCTTTTGTTATTGCACGTGATGTCCATAAATTGGAAATGCATAGATTTCCCAACGCATTCAAATGCAAGCCCCCTTTTACACATTTTGTATTATAAGTGGGTGTGATACATTTAATTTTTATTGAAAATCAATTCAGTAGAAGTAATGTTTTAAAAGTCGTATCGACCGATCAAATCGAGAATAACGGATTCAAGATTGGTGTCCGATTTTAGCAGTGTGAAACGATTGAACCATGGTAAACCGCAATTTTAGTACAAAAGCCGCATCACTAACTTTTCCTTGCAATTTTTGACTAGAGTTAAATAAGGTAAACATTGGAGTTCCAAAGGAAATGAATGACCTCAACTATAATCAAATAATCTCCACACTCTTTCTGTAAATGTGAAAAATAACATCTCACTCTCTATAAACACAGCTCGTGAAATCGAAAGATTATAGTTCCATGTCAGCGGTTGCTCGGATCTTACCTTTGTAACAACATCCACTTTATTAGTGCTAACTCCTAATGCAAATGTTATGGATTCAAATATCACACACCTAGTCATTGGTATGATAAGCAAGAAGTAAAGAAAATTGGTAATTGTTAACAATACCACTCGTGGGCAGGCAGGAGGGGCAGATGGATGTAAAATCTCCAACATAAGTCAACCATAAATGTGGATGCTTGTTTTTCTCTAACAAGGTCCATTCAATTTGAGGAACAACACATTTATTAAATACATGTTTTGGCCTTGTTGTCCCTTGTAGAGGCACTCTTGGTTGGGCTATAGTACTTCTTTCTTTTTGTTGCAAATTTGGTAAGGTAAAATGAATCTGCCTTCAATTTTTTTGCCATAGAATTCACCATCCCAAAGATATCTTTTCAAATGTAAATTCAACCACCTCGCTGCCATCAACTTTTAGACAATTGATATATCTTACTAACCTATTTTTTTTTATAACATTAACCTACCGTTTAACTTGCCTTGTCTGTTGCTCCACCAAAAAAGAAAAATGTATCACTTCTTATCATCATTGTTATGTGCAGGAAAAAAAGACAGTTTAGATGTCGGTTTCTTTTCGCCTTAATCAGAAAAGAAATTCTTCAGTGCTCTCCAAGTACCACCTCACTTTGCATATATGTCCCTCGAATCGACCACGTACCAATTACTGGACTAAATTAGTTAATATCATATTATTTTTATTTTGTTTCAGAGATACTTCTCCATCAGTTTCCTTATCAGATGTTTACCCATTTCACTCTAAAGATATGAAATCTCTAAGCATAAAATTTAAGATAAAAAAGTAACCAAAAAAAAAACATGAAATTTTGCTTTATCTATACGTTTTATAAATCAACGCTCTGTGCTCAGGATCTCACTCCAAATTTTGCATTACTACCCAACAATGTAAGATGAAACGCAACGTTTTGCTGTGGCAATGCTGGAATTCGGTGAGATTGTGAAGGGCTCGCATGGAATGGGAAAAGTTAATCTGCTAACTTGAAGATTCGTTAGCAGATACTAACTGATATCCAAAATACATAAACTAGTATCCAAGTACTAAAGTATCTAGAGATCACAGACTAGCTAGTATTCAAGGTTTGCTAACTGATATCCACCACGAATCAACTATTATCTCAAATTCACAAACTAATATCTAGACAACACAGAATAGTATCCATACAACACATAATTAGTATTCACATAACACATAAAAGTATCCAGATAACACATAAGAGTATCCATATTGAATACTAGTTGGTATCTGCTATCTGGATACTAGTTTGTGATGTTTTGAATACTAGTATGTGCTATCTAGATACTTTAGTAAAATCAGAAGACTTGAATACATTTTCATACATTTTGAATATTAGTTAGTATATACCAACAACTTAGGAGAATAACTAGGCTGGCATGGAATAACGATAAACCTGGGAAAAACAAAACAAGATAAGCCCCGGCCCACGGGCTGCCTGCCTTTCCTCGAGAGGAAGAGGTGGTGGTTTCTGTTACTCATTGATACCAAAGCAGCTTGTGTTAGAACTTAGAAGCTCTGCTCTTCAATGGAGCTCACCCTTACACATTTATCATCATTTCCCGCCTTAACCAGAAGTAAGTCCAACTCCTACACAAGAACTAACCGCATCCTTTTGTCTTTACTAGAGTAGTTGCCGACTAAGTACTGGAATGAAAAATTTCCCCATTAATGTGAATCGCTATGGGGGAAAGCTCCCGCCTTTGTTATTGCTTGCAGTACTAGTTTAGATAATGGGTTTACTTCCGTTTGTTGCATCCACCCTGGGGTTTAAGGCTATTGTATCAGGCAGGGAAGGTGTTCGTCATAATGCCTAGCCGAACATTTTGATGAGTGTTGTTACTTGGATGCGGTGGAGTTGTGTTCATTAATCTCGTGTGGTGTGGTGTCTCCATTGAAAGCTCTGGTCGTCTTTGCTCTGTAACACGAGTTGGGTTGTTGCTTTGGTTCAACTAGGCTTGGTTGAGAGATGGATTTTATTCTAAACCAGAATGGAATTATGAACTTCCATTTTGGTTGAAGTTAATTGTTTTGAATAATTCATTCTTGCCACTTAATTACCATTGGGACTGGGAACTGATTCTCATGCTATATAAAGCAAGAAAGAGTGCCAAGAACATGGCCACTCGGTACACTGCAGGGTTCATTCTTAACCTCTTTCTTTTAATCACGCAAAATTTGCCTTATGTTATGACAAATAGGTATCTGGACAAATGCATTTCTTGGATGATTCAAAGTTGTAATCCATTGAAGTGAATTTTTTTGTCAGGCTTCCAAAGAAATGGAGCTATTGCACCAAGTGCTCTTCTTCCCGATCCTGCAACACCTGTGAAGGCCGTGGCAAATTGAGCTACTAGTGTTTCTTCCTTCTGTCATACTATACTTCTACAAAATGAGCTACTAGCTAGTTACTGTAACTTGTTGTGGAAGGTGCTGCTTTGAATTCAATTTGTAAATTCGGTTAAAATATGTTTTAAGTTGTGTAGATAGTGCTCCTACAGTCCTACTTACTAAGGGGTCGTTTGGAAGTTGCGATTGTTAGTGTTGTATTTGTTAAATACATGCATTGTCCACAATATAACGTTTGGAAGTGTCAAGTTGCAAAACAATGCATGTATTGTTTTGTGTGGGTCCCACCAACAATCAACAAAAATGAGGGATTGTACAATCTCAACTAAAAGTTGAGATTGTTGTGATTGTTGGTTTAATAATTGAGCACCTTTATTTTTTTCAATTATGTCCATAGTTTTTTTTGTTTTATATTAAAACTGGAGGACAAATATGACATTTCCTTATAAAGTAACTTTATAACAATCAATTCATAAATTATAATCTCAACAACCAAACAATGTAATTTCAAAATGCATCTATTGTATCAATGCATGCATTTATATCATAGTGATTCATAACAATACAACGATTTAACATACGCAACTTCCAAACGACCCCTAAGTACTAGTTTGTTGAAAACATTTCAAGATAGTTTCTTACCCCTAACGAAATTTTCTGTTTCGATACCATAAGATTTGAGTGATTGCTCGAGTTTAAACGAGCCAACTCAATCAATTATTCAACTGCGAATGAGGAGATTGCTTGAACTCAAGTATGATGATGTTGGGTACACCTTCGGTTGCCCAACGTGTCGAAATCATTGTGTCGATCTCATCTCCCTCTTTCACTTTTGTCGAAGGAGGTGATTGCTTAAATGAACCAAGGTGGCTACTAAATCGTTGAAGCATGTTCATTGTCCTTCGGACAACTCATGTATGTGCTAAGTACACAGAGAGAGTTGAGTTGTCGGTGTATTCGATGGCACACAACATCCCAAACCCAAACTGATCCCAAAATGTCTATTATCCTTCTGATAACCCATGTACGTGTTATGTACACTGAACGTCGAGCTGTAGGTGTACTCGATTGTACACAACATCCCGAAATAATCCCTAAACGCCTTCACGTACGCCTATGATCAACTCTCTATCTGCCCGGCTGATGGAGCACATATACAAAGGTTACAAGCAAAATGATGCACACCCACTTGCTTAATTCTCTTGTTTGAAAGCAAGCTGGTTTTCAAACAATTGGGAGAGCGAGTTGCACCTATTTGTGGTTCTAGTTTCTTGACCATAATTAAATTAGTATAACATCAATCAATAGGTATATATTGAAATGAAGCAGCTAGCTAGCTAGCAAACCAGTGACAATGAAAGCGAAATCTCAGCAGTCAGCTCTGTGACAAGGCATGTGGATCTTTGAGTTTACCGTAAGGTTGGCCCAACATGCATTCATGATCGTTGATCCATCCCAGAAGCTGTCAATCTCGTAGCTCGGCCTTTTCTGGTGGAGTCTAAACTTGGTAATAATAACAATTAAACAATTTCACAGAGAGAGCGTTTATAAACTAAGCTTGCTTAATTAACTTCAAGGAAAGAAGACTAAATAACAGGGACGTGTACGGTGGGTCCCAAGAATTTCATCCTTTGGAATCCACTATGAGCCCTTTTTGTCCTTCAAACAGTTCTCCCATGTATGCGGCGAAACTAGGATTCCCCCCCTCCACCTTTTTTTAATTCTCTGTGCCTCTCCGGGGCACAGCTAGCTCCTGCAATGTCCTCAATTACATCTAATAGAATCTTAATTGCCCTTTCATTAATAATTGATTAATCACAATAATTAAACCGGGGGAAAAAATGGGGAAATTAGTGCTTACCTAGAAATGTCAATGCTCGGCCAGCAATATAAATACATTCCCCACTCTTGCCACTTCTCATCACCACAACAACAACAACAACAAGAAACCCAAAAACTACTTCCATCATGAGTGATCAACGTCTAGGCGACAATGCCAACCGGCCCGACTTCGCCTTCTCCGTCGAGCCCACCGACGCCGCCGCGGCGACGACCAAGTTCGACCTGCCGGTTGACTCGGAGCACAAGGCGACAACATTCAAGCTCTTCTCGTTCGCCAACCCGCACATGCGTACGTTCCACCTGTCGTGGATCTCCTTCTTCACCTGCTTCGTCTCCACCTTCGCCGCCGCCCCGCTCGTCCCCATCATCAGGGACAACCTCAACATCACCAAGAGCGACATCGGCAGCGCCGGCGTGGCCTCCGTCTCCGGCTCCATCTTCTCCCGCCTCGTCATGGGCGCCGTCTGCGACCTCCTGGGGCCCAGGTACGGCTGCGCCTTCCTCGTCATGCTCTCCGCCCCGACCGTCTTCTGCATGTCCTTCGTCTCCGACGCCTCCGGCTACGTGGCGGTACGGTTCATGATCGGATTCTCCCTCGCCACCTTCGTGTCCTGCCAGTACTGGATGAGCACCATGTTCAACAGCAAGATCATCGGACTCGTCAACGGCACCGCCGCGGGGTGGGGGAACATGGGTGGAGGCGCGACGCAGCTGATCATGCCCCTCGTCTACGAGATCATCCGACGTGGCGGGGCCACCCCTTTTACAGCCTGGAGGATCGCGTTCTTCATCCCCGGGTGGCTCCACGTCATCATGGGGATCATGGTGCTGACGCTGGGACAGGACCTGCCAGATGGCAACCTCGGGGCCCTACAGAAGAAGGGTGACGTGGCGAAGGACAAGTTCTCGAAGGTTCTCTGGGGCGCGCTCTCCAACTACAGGACGTGGATCTTCGCCCTTTTGTACGGTTACTCCATGGGAGTCGAGCTGTCCACCGACAACGTCGTGGCGGAGTACTTTTACGATAGGTTCGACCTCAAGCTCCACACCGCCGGGATTATCGCCGCGACTTTCGGGATGGCGAACCTCGTGGCGAGGCCGTTCGGAGGGTACGCGTCCGACGTGGCGGCAAAGTACTTTGGGATGAGGGGAAGGCTGTGGACTTTGTGGACGCTGCAAACCCTAGGCGGTGTTTTCTGCATTTGGTTGGGAAAAGCGAGTACGTTACCTCTGGCGATCTTGTCGATGATCTTGTTCTCAGTTGGAGCTCAGGCGGCGTGTGGGGCCACGTTCGGGATCATTCCCTTCGTGTCGCGGAGGTCGTTGGGGATCATATCGGGTCTGGCCGGTGCGGGTGGGAACTTCGGGTCGGGTTTGACCCAGCTCGTGTTTTTCTCGACGAACCAGTACTCTACCGAGACGGGGCTGTTTCTGATGGGGATTATGATCGTGTGCTGCACGCTTCCCGTGGCTTTGGTGCACTTCCCGCAGTGGGGAGGGATGTTCTTCCCGGCGTCGAGCGATCCGGTGAAGTCGACGGAGGAGTATTACTACGAGATGGAGTGGAGCGAGGAGGAGAAGCAGAAGGGATTGCACCACAACAGTCTCAAGTTCGCCGCCAACTGTCGGTCGGAGCGTGGGCCCCGCCGTGGGAATAATGTTGCCTCCGTCGCTACGCCGTCCAATGCGACGCCGAATCATCATGTCTAGTGATGAATGGGAATATGGGATGGATGGCGGCTAAGAGTGAGAATACCTAAGAGTGGTGAGGTAGTGTTTTTTTTCTTTTCACGTTAATAATCAAGTCTTGAAAAAAAAAATGAAAGCAGTTGGTTTATTATTTATGTGGAATTCATTGTGCAAGATGAATTTTTCACTTAAATTACTAACACAAAAGGAAAGAGTGGTGGTAAACTTGAGATTTATCCAATTTACATATAGATGCACCTTATATATGTAACGAAGAGATGATGTTATACTTTGTGTGGGAGTGTGTGGTATTATATTGGCTTTCTCTGTGATTGAAAGGTTATTAATTATTATATTGAGTTTGCAAAAGTACACTTTTGAGAAGTCTCTAACTCGATTGACAAAAGTGGCATAAAAGTAATTAAGTAGAAACGGGCATTAACATAAGAGGATCGGAAGTATCACCCGCTGCTATAAATGCATCTAGTTTTAGTAAATTTGAATACTAGTAAATTTGTCGCACTATTTCATGGGAAAGTCGGGTCCAGATCTTGTCAGTAATTGATGGGTTAGTAACCCATCAGTAATCCCTTCCCTGGTCCCCACGTGTCAGTCATTTTTTATTTAAATTAAATGTGAAAAGGGTAGTACAGTAAAATTGCACTTACTTCTATTTATTATTGATGCTCACTTTTGACCGGAGCCTATCAGCCCCACCTTCTCTCTCCTCGCAAAACATTTAATTTTCCTTCCCTTAATCTTTAACGGACGATTTCTCACTCGTTTTAAGTCGAAATTTAATTTTTTTTGCACAGTTAGATCAGATTAATTGTGCTTTTCAAAATGATATCCACTTTGATATTTTTTGGACACAAAAAAATTTGTCAGTTATTACCAGTCTATACCATATGGTATTGACTGTACCATATGGTATTGACTGGTATTAAACAAGAGCATACCATGTGGTATGGTAATATTTGCCACATGAATATATATTTCGTTACCACCCAATACCATATGGTATAGTGTGGTAATATCAATATATATTTCGTTACCACCCAATACCATATGGTATAGTGTGGTAATATCACACAATTCACACAATACCATATGGTATAGAGTGGTAATATCAATATATATTTCGTTACCACGCAATACCATACATTACCATAGGGTATAGTGTGGTAATATCAATATATATTTCGTTACCACCCAATACCATATGGTATAGTGTGGTAATATCAATATATATTTCGTTACCACCCAATACCATAGGGTATAGTGTGGTAATATCAATATATATTTCGTTACCACACAATACCATATGGTATAGTGTGGTAATATCACACAATACCATATGGTATAGAGTGGTAATATCAATATATATTTCATTACCACACAATACCATATGGTATAGTGTGGTAATATCACACAATACCATATGGTATAGAGTGGTAATATCAATATATATTTCGTTACCACGCAATACCATAAATTACCATAGGGTATAGTGTGGTGATGTCAATATATATTTCGTTACCACCCAATACCATATGGTATAGAGTCATAATATCAATATACAATTTAAAAGGGAAAAAACAGAAGGAGGGAGAGAAAAAAATCGTCTTCTGATGCCTCTCATTTCCTCTTCCTCAATCAAGAACACCAAAATGCCAAAAAAATAAGAAAGATCAGAATTGAGTCCAACGAGTTGATGAAGAGAAGAAATGCAATGAAAGAGAGTGGCTACAATTTTTATGCTAGAGAAAAAAAATGAAGAAGGAAGAGAGCAGATTTAGATTTGGAAAAGGAGATTGTGAGAAAAAAAAGTAAGAGAGAAGGAATAGAGAAAGAGAAAGGTTATGGAAAGAGATTGAAAAAAAGGAAGAGAGAAGGAAGAAAGTTGAGTTGCAGAGAAGGAAGATTCTCTCTCTTTCATTGAAAAGCCAGCCATTGAAATGCGGAATAAATAAAAAATTAAAAATACGAAAACGGACAAAAATGCCCCTCCCCCACCAACGTCCAGCCCATCCACACGATTTCTCCCTCCCCAAATCTACGGCCCGCGTGTGGTTACTGATGGGTAAGTAACCAGTGGTTACTGACCCTATCTTGGACCGGGAAAGTCGTTGTATCTACCACAGATATATTCAAATATTTGGAAACTTGAGATTGGGGAAGCTATTTTTGGATGGAGAGAGCGAGTTTGCAAAACTTGTGAGAGAATGATTTTGGCTCTCCTAAAATCACTTCCCGCATATTATATTGAAATTCACTATAACAAAGAAATATTACACTATATATAACATCAAAATGATGAGGAGGTGAAGATGATGAGTGGAAATCGGGACGAGACATTGGAACGATTAAGGAAAACGAGAACTTATTTTGGAGAACCGAAATCACTGTATTTTCGATCTCAAGCATCAAAATCTCTCCCTCCCACTTCCCTCAATCTCAAATTTCCAGTTGTCCTCGGTCGCCACAGTCCCACCCACCACATGGGAGTCTAATGTGGTTTTTATTTATATCTCATCTTCATCTACACCATCACGTAAATTCAAATAAAAAAGTTTCCCACTAAATGACAGAAGAATTAGTCAACTTATACTGTACAAACCCACTAATAATGCAGTTCCAAGAAGTAAACGGGATTACCACATATAGATAAGATGATCCACCTAGCTATGCCTTCAATAATGGTGCAAATCAAATAGTAATCTTTTGCCACACTCCATCGTTGGACTGACGTGTTTCTTTTTTTATTTAGTTCCAAGACCCTTGGACGGCATACGTATGCATTAAGCAATAATTCAGATTAACCTATTAGCTAGCGAGCCTATAGAGAGCCGAGCAAGGTATAGCCTCGACTTCAATCTTACTTTGAGCCTCAATCTGTTGACATCATAAGAAGGATCCCCCTACCTCGTCTCCCACAACAAGATACCAGGGTTCGGCATTACACCAAGGATGGAAAGTACACGGTCAAATCAGGATACACTACAGGAAAATTGACTTTTGATCACGGGCTTTTCCGTGACCATATGCTCAAATCCCGTGACGAATGTGCTTTGTCACGGGTGTATCCCCATGACAAGCATGCCCGTAATTAAATGTAAGTTATTACGGGAAATCCCGTGACCAGAAAACATTAACAACAGGGTAAATCCCGTGATAAACATTCCAATTGGTAACGGGAAATCCCGTGATGAAGCAAGAATCACGGGATGTTCCCTATAAGTAAAAGTGGCAATAACTATAGGATTTCCGGTGATTAGTGGTATTATTAAACACAGTATTTTCGCTATTAGTCACGCTAAGGTGGTGGTTGTGACAATCTAATTCGACATTTTTTTTATAAATTAAATCGACATTTCTCATTGCATTGATGTAACCTAATAATACTGAACATAAAAAAACAATTAAAATTTATATTAATCGATAATGATTGTATACATTAATTACAAGGAAGATACGTCATTGTAGTGGTATTCTCTCCACAAAACCAACTAAGGTTTAAGGACAAAGGAAACTGATGCTAGTTTTTACAAACTACTCCGGAGTGTCGAAGTCTAAAACATAAGACTTAAAGTGATGCAATACTTTGAGTTCTACTAATAAACTATAAATTGAAGTACTTTCTTCACTAGCCAAATATTCCTTTCATCCATCCATGCTGAAATTACCTGCACGCTGCAACATGTTTAACAAACCAGATGAGAATTCAAAAGACATGAATTCTCATTCTTTGTTAGTGTTTCAAGTACAATACATTGAAAACCGATTATAAGGAACAAAGTAAGAGAAGAAAATTCTAGAAATGCGCAAGCCAAATATTGCAATGCGAACTAGACAATCTGAGCAGCTTCATTGATTCAATTATAAGCACTAAAATTCAAGACTAGCGAGGCAAACCTTAGGATGTAGTGGAGATGAGCATCCACACAGGCTCCGTGAATTGGAAATAGCTACGGGAAATTAAACAATGGTAAGACTAAGACCCTCCAAGGGAGTGAAAACTAGAATTGTGAAATGGGACTAACCAAGATGGTGAAAAAAGGGGTTAAGCAGAAGTTAGCTACCTCACCTTTGACATGCTGCTGCTTTATCTCTTGTCCCCATTTGCCTGCCTTATTTATTCTCCTACCGAGCCTAACAGACATTAAGTAATGTCATTCAATAGTTAACAATAAACCAGAGTAAACAGGATAACTTTGGAGTCTAGAGTTAAAGAGAAACATTACATGTATTGTTCGGTGTCATACAATCAATAAGGTAAGTGGTTCAATAATGAATTACGAGATCGAGGTTAGCGTTAAAAGAAAAAGCAGAACAAAATGATGCTTTAAAGGGTTTTGCACTTGCTCCAGAACCCTAGAAGCACATTAGTACTTTGAAATTTCAACCCCAAAGGGAAAATTGATGAAGGAAATCGATCTCACCCCATCCCAATCTGTAGAGAGAGGAATATAAGTGAACAACAAACCTGACCAGAACTTAACCTATTGTTTGGCGATTTGAAGAGGCCTTGGAAGGGGAATTTGATGTCCGAAATTGGGCTCCCAATCTCCTCGGTTGCTCAATGGTGGGATGTGTGAGAGAGGCAGTTGGATGGACCGTTCTCCCTTGCTGAATACCGGGTGTAGGAAAGTGCGGCGGAGATTGGAGTCAAGGAAGTCACCGGCCAAATAGGGGAAAGGTCCAGATCTATAGTTGAATCGGACCACTGGAGTCCAAGGCTGATTCACTCCCGTTCAACTCGACCATATCATGTATGAGGATGGAAGACAAAGGCATGCGATGGCAGTCATAGAGAGATCTGAATGTTGTAGTCCTTGCGCAATGTCGGGGATGTCCTATCTATTTTGCTGATGCGGATGCCATAGAAGGACATGCGAGACAGAAGAGTACGCAGGGAAAGGATTTGCCAGGACTGAGGGAACTGAATCGGTCGAAAGAGGCGGTGGGAGATGGTCGAACGCGGTGGAGAGGTTGTTTCTGTTTGAGGCGGACGTTATAGA